GGACGATGCAATGAGTGCAGCGCAAATACAAGTGTGGCACGAATGCTTCAAAGATGGTTGAGAGTCTGTTGAAAGGGATCCATGTTCGGGAAGGCCTGCAACAAGCAGAACCCCTGAGAATGGTGAACATGTACGGGCCGCAGTCAACACAGGTCAGTGACAGTGCGAGAACTGGAAGCTCATCTGGGGATGTTGACACAGGACTTTGTCATGAAGTGTGTCGTGAGAAAATTCATTCCTTGGCTTCTGCAACCGGAATGGAAGGAACATCGTGCAGCAGTTGCTGAGGACACGATCCCAAACCGCTACCAGCGAACAGATTTCCCCAAGAGCACTCTGAACAGTGGAAGGGACGCCGGGAGAACTACGTGAGGTCCCAAGGTGCTGACTCTGAAGGGGACAGAGGCGTCATTGTCCTGTGTACCATGTGTCTTGTGTCTTCTTCAGTCAATGTCTCTACTTTTCATAGAATGTGGTTGGATCCTTTCTGGACAGACTGCATATGACTATCCAGATGTCTTAAGCTGCAAGACAATTTTCCAAGACAAACTTGTGGCACGTGCTTCATATATTTTCTGAAGGTCACTCCCAAAGCAGTCCGCTGTGATAAACCTGCCACTTTTTCCATTTTTATCATGTAGACCAGACCCCCCATACTTAGGGACACCCAGGTACTTCAGCTGATGGGCACAAATCCATTTCTGAATTTGCCCTGGTCCACTGCCCGTGGGTTCCACCTTGACAGCATGGGATGCATGGCCGCCCGCCAATTTTGAAGAATTCTTACCAGCAAGATCTATGAAACCAAAGCCACCCTAGCCGATGGGCAATCCCAGTCTCCCTTCCTTTTGACACGTCAGTGATCACCACCCCCCCTCTCCCCAGCTGCAAAGTGTTCTGCGGGAGGAGAACACAGCTCCATAGCTGCAGCCGCCTCAACTCGAGGCGCCGGCACGCCTGGGCTTGCGCCAATTCGGCGGCGCTGCCAGACCGTCGCACACGGGTCCTTTGTCTCGGTCTGCAGCGCCCTGGAGGTCCAGAGCCGCCTTTCTGAGGACGGCTCCTCCTTTCTGAGGGAGGTGCAAACCGATAGGGACTTGCCCTATACAGACACAAAGCCAAAGTTCAAAGGTTTGCAGATAAAAGAATAGTCCTGCGTCAGCATTATTTTTATTGACTTATGTTACTGACTTATTATGTATTGATCTATTACTTTTTATTGATCTGAGAGAGAGAGATGCATTGGTTGTTCCGCTCATTGATGCATTCATTGGTTGAGTCTTATATGTGCTCTGACCGGGGATTGAACCTGCATCTTGGTGTTTTGGGATGACGGTGACGCTCTAACCAACTGAGCAACCCAGCCAGGGCTCAGCGTCAATTTTTTTTTTATCTTGCTGATTGCACTGGTACTATGTCAGAAAATGTCCTCATTTCTAGGAAATACACAGTGAAGTGTTATGAAACAAAAAAAAAATAGTGGCCAAAATGAAAATTAGTTATTTCTCACAGTGCTTGGGTGGGCCGCACACTTCTCCACTTGTCTGGCCGGCCCCCTCCCCCCGCCCACGTGGGCAGTTGGTGCCGGGTTGGCGGGGCCCTCGGGTTTCCTTCACGTGGCTCAGGCCCGAGGTTGCCTGGACCAGGTTCCATGCAAGGGGGTCTCAGGACCCTGTTCCGGGAGAATGAAGACAAAGTTACAAGGCATCCCGAGGCCTGGACTCTGGACCCACCGTGGCACCCTTGTCCCCACATCCCACTGGACAAAGCAAGTCCGCGCCAGCGCACGGTCACAGGTGGGAACTGGGCTCCACCTTTGCCTGGAAGCGGCTTCACTGACTGCGGCCGTGTTTGATCTCCCGCGCCCTTCTCCGGCCTCGCCCCGACGCCAGGGTCTCCTTGAGCAGGGCCAGTACCCGGATTCTTACATACAAGGAGTCTGGGGCACAGCCCCATGAGTGAGAGGTGGTTAGTGGACTTGTTTCAAGTTGATTGCAAGGCAAATACTTTTTATTGACATATACTTACCTGCAGAAGAACTTTCTGCTGGACCCCCTTTCGGTGTCCAGTTCTGGGAGTGCCGACGGATGCGTCCAGCTGGGTGACCGTCACACCAGGGTGCCCCTCAGAGCCAGTCCCAGCGCCCCCCCACCTCAGATGAGCTTCTGGTAGAAGCAGAGCTACCAGACGACACCCCACAGTGTCGCCTTCTCCAGAATGTCCTGTGCAAGGAGTCCCGCAGTGCGTGGGCTCATGATTCCGGCACCTTCCACCTGGCGTGATGCCTCCGAGCGGCTCCGGTGTCCTTGGGAGCTTCGGTGGTCCTGTTCCTTTCGGTTGCTGAGTAGCATTCCGTGTGCGGACGGGCGGGCGTGTTTATTATCCGTGCAGCCGCCGAAGGTCGCTTCCCGTTTTTGACAGCTCTGAGTAGAGCTGCCGCGAACATCCGGGAATGGGCTTTGTGTGCACGTGAGTGCCCGTCTCTCTAGAGCAAACACCCGAGACTGCGATGGCTTCGGTGCATAGCAGGCGCACGCTCACCTCCGTAAGAAACCCCCGAACTGCTCCGCCGCGCGGCTGCAGCTTTTCACGCTTCCACCAGCACTTTGGGAGTCCTCCCAAGCCTCGCCAGCACTCGGTGTCCTCCGCCCTTCTGTTTTTCGGAGATCCAATTGGCGTTACCAAGTGATTCGTGAATCGGGCAGCACCCCCAACCCCCATTCCCCACTTCCATCCACACCCACACCCACAGCCCCACCACACCCCCGGCAACTGGAAGGGCGGTCCCAGCCCCGCTCCCACCCCTTCCCCCCCAGGATGGCCGTTCTCACGGGGTGCGCAGCAGCGTCTCCCTGTGGCCGGAGTTTGCATTTTCTTCATGTACGCTGATGCTGAGCATCTTTTCACGGGCCGGTCTGCCATTCATCTGTTTTCTTTGGCGACATGCCTGCTCCAAAATTTTGGGGGCATTTTTTTCACCAGGTTCTTTTTTTTTCTTCTTACTGAGTTTTGAGAGTCCTTTGTCTGCTCTGGATACAGAGTTTCCATCAGATGTGTGTTTGCAGGTACTTCTGCCAACCTGTAGCTTGACTTCTCTGTCTCCTCCCGCTGCCTCTCACGGGGCAGAAGGGTAAGCGGAAGTCCGATCTATCAACACCTTCTTTTGCAGATGACGCTTCTGACGTCGTCTCTACGGCACATTTTACTGTCGACTAACGGGAGGTCTGAAGGGTTTTCTCCTGTGTTTCCTTCTAGAAGTTTTATGGTTTTGAGTTGTCCATACAAACTTATGATGCACGGGGGGGAGTATTTGGTACACAGTGTGAGACAGGAGTTGAAGTTCGTTTTCTCTGCATATGGAAGTCCACATGTTCTGGTTGTTGGGGAAAAAAGAAAAAGACTGCAGAGCAAATCCACCAGAACTGTGGGTTTGTTTGGGTGGTTGGGGGGGTGGGAGAGGAGGCAGAAATTACTGAGGGGCAGGACAGCAGAGCCCCACGCCCCCGCCTGGCACCAGGCCCGGGACTTCCAGCCTCCCGCGGGTGTGGGCCATCGGGCAGGGGGCCATCGGGCAGGGGGCCATCAGGCGGGCCCTGTCAAAGGGACAAACCTTTCGTGGACCTTGCCAGGCCTCTCGTGGTTATTGTTTAACACGTTGGGTGAAAATGAGCTTTTTTTATAACCACTGTCGCTCCAAGCAGTTGTGCCAACATAACCTTTCCTGCCAGGGATACCCCCAGAGGGGGGGGACCCCGATGGACTCATCACTGTGGAGAGGAGCCCGGGAAGGTGCGGAGACACCTTTCTGCAGGGCAGGGAGGGGGCATGGCCCGGCAGCGGCTCAGCTCCCACCTGGCTGAGTGTTCAGGACGGCAGATAAGAAACAGGACCCACGACTGTCCAGCCTTAATTTCTATTCTTTGATTTAACCGTGTTTTACAGAGACTCGGGTCTTGATTCCAGAGTTTGCACACTTAGGAAATTATACTAAGCATGGGACGAGAGACAAATTGTTTGCTTGTTTGGAAGCCTCGGGAAGGTTTATTCCCTGTGTGTTCCTCTGGAGACTAGCAGAATAAAAGCTTTATGTGCTACATGATGGATCTCTTCTTTTAAAGCTGCATCCAGTTACAATGTGGCTAGCCCAGCCCTTAAGTTCATTTTACTAGAGTGGATAATGAAAACAACCTAAGGAAGTGGGGATCTAAGTCCCAGAGGACGTGCAGGCAAAAAATGAAATACGTACACACAAGGAAATACACCCTAAACACACAGGAAGGGCGCGAGGTGCTCCGCAGTGTGACGTGGTGTCGATTCTGTCTCTCCTCTGGGAGCGGGGCTTTCTGGCAGAGGGGCCGGGACGACCAGGGCGTGGAGGGAGGCTCTCCAGGAGCTGAGGACAGGGCTGGTGTATCACCCAGAATGGGAGTAGTTAAAAATTTTCACTCGCATGGCTGCATGTCATCCATGGAAGGACGCCTGAAGAAATACATGGGCGGATGAGCAGTAAAGGAAAAGGCTAGCCCAGGCTGGTGTGGCTCAGTGGATTGAGTTGCCATCCTGCAAACCAAAGAGTCACAGGTTTGATTCCCAGTCAGGGCACATGCCTAGGTTGTGGGCCAGGTCCCCAGTAGGGGGCGCATGAGAGGCAACCACACATAGATGTTTCTCTCCCTCTCTTTCTCCCTCCCTTCCCCTCTCTAAAAATAAAATATTTTTTAAAAAAGTAAAAGGACAGAAGGATGGATGGATAGTATGACGGTGGGGTGGGCGGGAGGGTAGATGAATAAGTGATGGATGGGTGAGGGGCATGGCAGAAAGGTGGATGAGCGGGAAGGTGGAAGAGTGTGAAGGAGGAAGGGTGGAGGGAGAGTGGAAAGATGGACGGATGCGTGGACAAGTGGGAAGGTGGATGGACTCTGGCAGAGAGGCTGGGTGGGGTGGGTTGCAGAGTCCAGCCCACTGGTGACGACCTGACTGTCGGCTCTGGGGGCCCACAGGGAGTTTCCTGGTGCCCTACCTCGTCATGCTCGTCGTGGAGGGAATGCCACTCCTGTACCTGGAACTGGCGGTCGGACAGCGCATGCGCCAGGGCAGCATCGGCGCCTGGCGGAGCATCAGCCCCTACCTGAGCGGTGTCGGTACGTGGGTGCCTCCAGTCCCCCCCCACCCCCCGCCCCAGGAGACCCCCTTCCTGTGTTCCGAGCAGCCCGGGTGGGGGTGGGGGCAAAGGGAAAGCACAAGGCCCAGCAGAGAGCCCTCGAGTGGGGTGGACAGCGGCCCAGGAGAGGCTGCCCTAGAGCCTGGGCCCAGAGGGGCTAGTTTCCCGCCCCAGGAGAGGGAGAAAGGGGGGAGGCCCGGTGGGGACCTGAGACCCCATCGCCTCCTGCCTCCAGGGGGCTTGTCCGTAGAGGGGAACCAGCTGCCCGGACGCAGCCGTGAGTCAGTGTCCAGGCTGACAAGCACTCTGGGGACAGGCCCCTGCCGGCTCTTAATAACGGCGTCCCCTGTCAGTGGCCACCTACTGTGTGCCGGGCGCTGGCCTGCACAGTATATGCACATAAGCTCAGCTCATCTTCTCGCCGCCGAGAGGCTGTCGGGGTGTCACACGGAAGCAGGGCACACAGACAGTAAGGGGGTGCAGCCCCACAGCCTGCCTGTCCGCGACTCCCTGGAGCTGGTGTCCTGCGCACCTCGGGGACACGGTTAACCAGCCTCTCCCCCTCACACTCCTGGGCTACCGCCGCCACTGCCGGCGGGAGGAACTTTGACCAGCGATGGCCATGCTCTGTCCCGCCCACCCCTCCCGCCCCAGACAGGAAGGCAGAGTGACATTTCGGGGGCAGAGAGGGCATAAACTCATACGTGACTTGTCTCAGGTGCAGAAGAAATGGGTCCCGTGCCCTCGCAAATCATCTCCTAACTCGCACTGCCTCCTCTCTCGAGTGGCCGTTAATGTTTAGCAGGGAGCCGTGTGGCTGGCGATCTGCCCGAGTGAGCAATCCCGGGGGCCTTCTCCGAGGCGGCGCTTGCCGTGTGGTAGAAAGCAGGCCAGATGGTTGTGCCAGCCGGGGGTGCTGGTGAATGTGTAACAGCCGGCTCTCCGGGTGGGCGGGGGAGGCCTGGCTCGTAGCATCTGCTGATCCCCTGGTGTAAACACAACACCAGGGCCGCTCTCAAACTCCTAACCAAACGCCCCTGAGTGTGGGGCTGGCAGAGGTGCACACAGAGGCTGTGGGAGAGGGGGGTGGCCCGGCTCCAGAGCACCCCCCATTGCCAACTATCCCTCTGCTGCACCCCCCTCTCCCCATTCCCGCCCCAAGGTCCTTGCAGACCTCTTCAGGTGGGGGTCAGCCCCCCGCCTGTCCCTTACGCTCCTGACAACCCCCTGCTCCCGGCCACCACAGGGCAGGGATTGGCCGAACTTCAGGGGAACCAGGGAGAGGGAGCAACTGTAGGGTCTGGCCTCAGGGGCCCTGGGCCGCGACAAAGGGCTTCTCGCTTCTTCGAGGTTTGAATCCCAGGCCTGCCTCAGCGGCGGCGGGGGTCGGGGCGCTCAGGCGAGCTCTGGGCCTCCGCTTCCTCCTCTGCGAGGGGCAGCAGTGTAATAACGCCCACTCCACAGCATTGTCGGGAGGACCTACCGTGCATACAGTTCTTCGAGCAGCGGCTGCACGGAGATCTCCAAAAACTGTCATCATCCTCGCGTCCCAGGAGTTGGGGCAGGGGCAGGGAGACAGACTAGCCCTGGGCAGTGCTCACCGACCTGCTGGGGAGGTTTCACCACCCCGGGGGAAGGGGTCACTCCCTGCGTGGGTGTCCTGGGTGCCTTGGAGGGGCCCCGGCCAGGCGCCGGGCCCAGGCGGACGGGGCAGGGGGCAGGGAGGACCTCGTCAGCGCCCTCTGCCTCTGCACAGGCGTCGCCAGCGTGGTGGTCTCCTTCTTCCTGTCCATGTACTACAACGTCATCAACGCCTGGGCCTTCTGGTACCTGTTCCACTCCTTCCAGGTGAGCCGGGGGGTCCCGGGCCGGGCGGGAGCAGCAGGAGGGCAGGGCTGCCCGCCGGGACAGGCGGGGAGGTGTGGGTCAGCCTTCTGTCCTCACAGATGGTCTGTCTGGCCCTTACTGTCCCTGTAGCCAGTCTCTCGGGCCCCCAGTGGAGTCTGGAGGCCCTCGGCCAACCCCAGTGGGGCCGTCAGGAGTGGGAAGCCCCCTCGCCCACCCCACCCTGCCTCTCTCCTGTTCCCAAGCCCCGCCCGTGCCCCTGACTAACCCTCGGAGTCCCTGTGCGCCCCTGGGGGCTCCAGCTGCCTGCTGTTTGGGGAACCGCCCCCCCATCTGTTCCAAGAGCCCCGCCCACACCAGGGCCACCTCCCGTCCCCTGCACCCCGACCTTTGGCCTCAGCCCTCGCCTCTCCGAGTGACGTTGTGTCGGCCCCCCAGGACCCCCTGCCGTGGTCTCGCTGCCCGCTGAACGGCAACCACACGGGCTACGACGAGGAGTGTGAGCTGGCCTCGTCGACGCAGTACTTCTGGTACCGGAAGACCCTCAACATCTCGCCGTCCATCCAGGAGAGCGGCAGCGTGCAGTGGGAGCCGGCGCTGTGCCTCGTGCTGGCCTGGCTCATGGTGTACCTGTGCATCCTGCGGGGCACCGCGTCCACCGGCAAGGTGGGCTGGCACAGCGGGGGCGGGGGGGGGAAGGCTGGCACAGCGGGGCAGGGCCGGTGCCCGGGGAGGGGTGGGGGCAGGGGCCAGCAGAGCCACCAGGCTGCCTGCCGCCCTCCAGGGGCAGAAGCTGGGCTGGGGCAGGCGTGGGTGGTGTGCTGGCACAGGTCACCTGCTCGGTGACGGTAAGGATGGCCAGTGGTGCTTGGGTCACAGCCCCAAATCTCAACACAGGGGCTCCCCTGCCACCCCCCCCCACCCCGCAGAGGGCCGAGTGCTGTACCAGCCAGCCCCCGCCCCACACCGCCCGAGCAGCAGCAAGCGGCCGGACAGGGGGAGAGACAGATCTCCCAGAGACCCTAGCCCCGGTCTCACAGCAGCCGCGTGGCGGCCTCACCTGGGGCGCTTTACAGCTGCACTGCCTGGGTCCGACCCCCGGAGGAGGCTCCGGAGTAATCAGCGTGGGGGGCAGCCTGAGCTGGGGCGGCGGGGGGGAGCCCGGGGGCTTCGAGAGCCCTCCAGGTGCTTCCGACGCGCAGCCCAGGTTGAGAGCCCCCGTGCGGAGCTGCCCTGCTGCCCCGTCGGGGCCGGCTTATGAGCCTTTTCTCCGTGGTGCCTCCTCCGTGCCTTCTGCCCCTGCTGGGCTGGTGCTCCTTTAACGCCGCCCCGCTCCAGCGCCGCGGGCCTCACGGGGACCCTGCTGTGGGCCCACACGGCCCGTGGTCCCCGGGCCTCCGGGAGGCTGACTCGGCCCTCGGGGGCCCACAGGTGGTGTATTTCACGGCGTCGCTGCCCTACTGCGTGCTCATCATCTACCTCGTCAGGGGCCTCACGCTCCACGGAGCCACCAACGGCCTGGCGTACATGTTCACCCCCAAGGTACCGGCTGGAGGGAGGGGGTCCCTGAGCGCGCCCCACTCACCCTGCCATCTTCCAGAATGGGTGGGGAGAGGGAGGGGAAGGCGAGGGAGAGGGGGAAGGGGTCCTGGACCGGGGGTCTGCTGCAGGCGCCCCGGGCAGGCGGAGGGTGTGGATTGGCTGTGGGTGCAGAGCCACCACCCCAGCCGGACGGACGGCCCCCAAGCTGTCTGACTTCTCAGGCATCCACCTTCTGCTCTTTAATCCTCACCCAAGGTCACGCTCACTGGTGTTAGAGAGAGAGAAAGGGAGGGAGGGAGAGAGGGAGAGAGGGAGAGAGGGAGAGAGCCATCAATGCGAGAGAGAAGCATTGGTTGGACCGAACCCGCAACCTAGGCATGTGCCCTGACCAGGAATCGAACCCACGACCTTTTGGTTCATGGGGACAACACTCCAGTCAATTAAGCCACATCAGCCAGGGCTGAGGCATTGAGTCTTTTGTCCCCTCACCCTCCCAGTCCTGTCCGGCCCCCACCAGCTGCTACCCAGCCCCATATGTGGCCTCCAGGCCGCAGCCTCCCCCCAGCCCCTCCCTCCCACCTGGGAGCTCAGTTGTCTGCCTGCAGCCCCACTCCCTGGGCCTCCCACTGGCCACTTCCAGGCGCCGCCTTCCCTACAGGGCAAGGCCACACCCTGCAGGGCTCCCTGGGCCCCTTGCAGCCTCCCCCAGCCAGCACTGACCACCGAGGCCTTTGGGAGCAGGACAGGTTCTCCCCTGAGCGAATGCGGCCCCTGGAAACAGAGTGACCGAGCTAGCAGCCCCCTCCCCGGACCACGTGGGCCCACCGCCAGGCCACAGCGCTGCTGCCTCACGGGCAGGAGCGCAACCCCTTTTAAAGCGATTCTGACCTCACTTCCCAGCGGCACGCCTCCTGTGGGCACAGGGCTGTGCAGGACAGGACAGGACAGCGCAGGACAGGGCAGGGCAGGGGGGACAAGCTTCATCTGCTGAGAAAGGGGGGCGGCACCCGCAGGAGGCCGGGAGCGCCGGTGGGCTGCGCCCTGTGGGCAAGGCCCTCCCTCCCCTGGCCGGGGTGTTCGGGACCCCGCCAGGGTTCACCGGCCCTGTCCCTGCCGGCCCCCCAGGTGGAGCAGCTGGCCAACCCCAAGGCCTGGATCAACGCGGCCACCCAGATCTTCTTCTCGCTCGGCCTGGGGTTCGGCAGCCTGATCGCCTTCGCCAGCTACAACGAGCCCTCCAGCAACTGCCAGAGGCACGCGGTCGTGGTGTCGCTCATCAACAGCGCCACCTCCATATTCGCCAGCGTGGTCACCTTCTCCATCTACGGCTTCAAGGCCACCTTCAACTACGAGAGCTGCTTGAACAAGTAAGAGCCCCGGGCCTCAAGGGGGAGACCGGTCTCCAAAGCTCCGAGCTGAAGGGGCACCAGGGAAGAGGTGGGCACCGAGGGGCCAAGGGGTAGGGGGCAAAGGGCGGCAGCCTTGCCGAATTTCTTCGGCCCTGTCTCCCCCGCCTCGAAAGTAACCAAGCACGCTCTCTGCTGAGCCACGGAGGTGGCAGAACCTACTCGCTGTAACCCCACCTGAACACAAGACACACACAGCAGGCTCACTGCCCCACGGACAGTGTGTCCCGAGCCCCGAGGGGCTGCTTACCAGTGTAAATTTAAACTTTGGTTTAAGTCAGTTCCTCGGTTGCACTCGTGGTTGTACCCGTGGCTCCCGGGCCCCCAGTGGGATGGCACGGATGTGGAGCGTGTCCGTCCCCCACCCCCCGGCCAGGTGCGTGCTCCGTGGGACGGGGCTGGCCCAGCGGTCGGAGCAGCCTCCCTGGGCGCTGCATGGATGGGCTCCACCAGCCGTCACCGTTCCCGTTTGAGGCTCCTCCAAAGCCACTCAAAACACCTTGCCGTGGACAAGGTCGCCAATCCACAGGCTCCTCTTGCTGAGAGCCTCGCCCCATCAGAAGGGAAGGGGCAGGGTGGGCCGCCTGGCGCCCAGGCTTCCCCGGGGCTTGGGGTTCGGTGACAGCAACCTTTCTGACCCCCTGACGCTCTGCCCCGCAGGGTGATTCTGCTGCTGACCAATGCTTTCGACCTGGAAGACGGCTTCCTGACAGCCAGCAACCTGGAACAGGTGAAGGGCTACCTGGCGTCCACCTACCCCAGCCAGTACAACGAGGTGTTCCCGCAGATTAAAAACTGCAGCCTGGAGGCGGAGCTGGACACGGTGAGCTCTGGCGAGGTCGCGGGAGACCGAACTCTCTGCCCCGCCCCCTAACCCCCCAACCCCGCCCCCGGCCGCAGCTCTGCTAGGAGAAGGGAGACCCAAACGCCCTTTCTTCCTTCCCCGTTTCTCCTTTTCCGTTTCAAAACAACAGTGGAGTACAAAGAATAACATAACAAGCAGCTATATATCTACCGCCCTGAATGAACAACTGTAAACATTTGTTGTTTGGGGGGGCACAGATTTTTTTCTTTTAATATGAAAGAAAAGAACATTTCAGGGACACAGGGAAAGGCCCCTGGGACCGGCCCCAAACTTTGCCTGCTCAGCAGAGGGAAGTTCTTCATTCTGACATGTTACTCACCCACATACATCGTCAAATATTGTTGTTTCGTTGGCAGTTTTTTTATATGGAAATAAGGGGTCTGGGAGATGCCTTCCTCATTCAACCTTCTGTTTGCAAGATCCATCCATAATGACGCATGCGCAATCTCGTAACTCATGTTGAGTGCCGCGTTTTATTTCACCAACAAACACACCATCATTTATCTATTTCCTCACGACTAGACATGTGGCTTTTTTAAAAAATTTGCTACTGAAGTCACCTGTATTTATATTTTACAGATTTATCTTTACTTTGCTGGGTCTTTATTTATTTTTTCACATGAATTTTAGGATGAATTTGACAAGTTCCACTGAGGAACAACATTTGAGGAATTTTTACTAGAATGGCATGCATTCTTTCCATGTCAGTTGGGGAGAATTAATATTTTTCTGATTCAGGCCTTTTGGTGACTTTTGATTCAGGAATGTGCCTTATCACGCACACAGGTGTGCCTTCAACTAGTTTTCTCCTTGAATACCTTGGCCCCTCTGTTATCAGCTTTCTCTCTAGGCAACTTGCTGTTTTGTGGCTCCTGTGAACGGTGTCTTTATTTCCTCTTCCTGTCGTTGCTTATCTTCGTAGCGAAAGAGAGCTGAAGGTTTTCGTATGTTGAGCTTGTATCTAGCAACCTTGATGACTTCTCTTACTCATTCTTGTATTCGTCTACATGTTTGCTTCAGTTTCCTATGTAAACTCTTGTATCACCTGCTTGCATTTTTCTTTTCGATTCTTCTATCACTTCCTTTTTTTTTTTCCTATTGTGTTTGCTAGGACGTCCAGCCCAGTGGAAGCAGAAATGAGAGTGGGTGTATTTATCTAGTTCTCACATTTCTTAGAGACTGCTCCTGGAGAGTGTCTCCAGAGAGTGTTTCACAACATTCTCATCCGGAGACGAGGGAAGGCCCGTCGCTCTGGTGTCAGCGAGCCACCGAGGAGGGGTTTGGCATTTGTCTCACAGGGGAGCCGTGCTCGGTCTGTGTGTTGTGGGTGAGGCCCCACTGGCCCCTCCTGGCCCTGGCTGCCTCCTGACACCACCCTCTGTCCCCAGGCCCCAGCCCCAGCCGCTAGGGCCTGGACCCCTGCCCCCCACTCAGCTGACCCCCGAGGCCTCTGGCTTTAGCTCCTGCTCAGGTTCAAATTCCCTCTCTGTTCTTGGCACCTGGGCGTCCTCCTCCCTTCCTTTCCAGCTTGGCTCAATGTCCAAGAACCGTGTGGTTATTGATTTATTTCCACTGCGTTTCCCCCATGGCGGGTTTTTCCTCATTCCGCCCACTCTCTGCGGTTTGGAATGTGTGGACTCCATGGCTCTCCTTGAAAACTTTCCACACGTGTCTAACTGAGGAAAACCCGAAGGTAAATGCCGTCTTGGCCGCAGAGCACGTCAGCTCCTCCCTCCTGTTTTCGGCGCCATTTTTGTCCGGTTCTGCCTTTTCTAAGCCCATAAATTGGGTACTGGTGTTCCTTCACACAGACAGTGTTTGTATTTATCTTCATTAGGCGTTTTATTTATTCACCGTTTGTTCTTGCACCCCAGCTGACCTCTGGGGTTTGTTGGGTTGTTGTTTTTTTTCTCCCTTAAAATGCATTCCTTTCCTGGAGGTTTTTATGATCAGTGGTGTCGGGTTTTATCTGTATGTCAGTGTCTGTATTTGGTCCCCACTTTTTAAACAATGTATTAATTTTCCCACGACAGTGGACGTACAGCATTATATTAGCTTCGAGTGTGCAGCGCAGCAGTGATCCGACAGCTGTGTAGCCTACACGGTGATCGCGCCCCAGCACCCCGAGGGCCCGCCCGGGACCCCGCTCCCTCACTCCAGTGTCGCTGGCTAGCTTCCCCACGCAGCCCTTCACGTCCCCGGGGCCGCTTTGATAACCGGCAGTTTGGACTTCTTCATCCCTTCACTCTTATCCCTCCTCTCCCCCGCCTGCCTTCCCTCTGTCGCCATCCATTTGTTCCCTGTGCCTGGGAGTTTGTTTCTGCTTGGTCCCCATCTTCTGAAGGTGTTGTTCCCGCCCTGGCTGGTGTGGCTCAGTGGACTGAGTGTCGGCCTGCCAACCGAAAAGTTACCGGTTCGAATCCCAGCCAGGGCGCATGCCTGGGTTGCAGGCCACGTCCCCAGTTGAGGGCGTGTAAGAGGCAACCACACATTGATGTTTCTCTCCCTCACTTCTCCCTCCCCTCTCTCTAAGAATAAATAAAATCTTAAAAAATAAAGACCATCCTGGGGGTCCTAATCAGGGGACCTTTCTCCCAGAGAGGTTTTGCTCCTGGTCTTCTGATGCCGGTAGCCAGGGGACCCCGTCGCCATGACCCCTTTCAGCCCCTCCCCACCGGAGGTTGTCTTTAAACAGGAGCTCCAGGCTCCGTGTCCACAGTTCAGTGTCCCCACAGGGGTGTGTCCACCCCAGGGACCCAGCCGCTGAGCAGCTCCCCACCCTGCCCCGGCTACCTGCTGGCCTGGCCCCCCATCCCCCCTCAGCTCCCAGCCGCTGAGGCCTCCGACACCCATCAGTCGTGACATTGGAAGCAGAAGTTACCGAAACATCATTTTATGATGTTTTAGCCAGAATTTATGCAGGCTGGGGCAGGAAAGAGGGCCTCAGTGTCCCCAGTAGACGGAAGTGTCTCCTCACACACACGGGCTCCTGACAGCTCACACCTCCGTCCGCCCGGTGGAGCCCGAGGGCCGGGCTGGCCCGCGGATGGGAGGCCCAAGCTCAGCAGCGTGTGGCTTCCCGCAGCCGGCTCCGAGGTCCCCCCCGACCCCGCTGCTGCGCGTCGTCGGGTGTGTTTGGGGGGCTGTCCGCCCCTCCGGTGTGTGACCGGGGTCTCCCTGCTGCGGGCAGGCGGTCCAGGGCACGGGCCTGGCTTTCATCGTCTACACGGAGGCCATCAAGAACATGGAGGTGTCCCAGCTGTGGTCGGTGCTGTACTTCTTCATGCTGCTCATGCTGGGCATCGGGAGCATGCTGGGCAACACGGCCGCCATCCTCACCCCGCTGACCGACAGCAAGGCCATCTCCCGCCGCCTGCCCAAGGAGGCCATCTCAGGTGAGCGGGCGGGCCAGGGGAGGTGGGGGGGCTCCGTGGGGAGGTGGGATGTGAGGGACAGGCAGGTGGGCAGGCTGCCTCAGGGGCCACGTGCCTGTTGAAGCGGCCACAGGGGCTGCGGCCACCTCACGGTGGCCCTGCGCTCGCCTGCTCCTCACCGCTGGCCATCCGGGCCCTGGCACGTGTGGTTTCTCCCAGTGTGCCTGGTTCTGCACCCCATGGGCACGGGCCGGGCCTCCCCAACCTTGGGAGGCGCCCAAACTCCGCCCAGCCCCCCCCCCAACCCCCCCCCCACCCCCCACCCCCCACCCCCCGCCGCCAAGGCACCCAGAGCTCTGCAGGCAGCGGAGAGGCTGCCGCTGCCCGTGTTCAGTGGAGGAACAGCCGTGGGAGCAGGCGCTTCCGGAAGCCCGCACTCCGCGAGTCCCACGGGCGCGCCCACTTCCCGCCCCGAAGTCACCGCTGCTCTCACGGCCACCCTTCCATGCTGGTCCCCCTTTTCCTGACTTCGCGTACATGGAGTCACACGGGTGTGCGGCCTCCGCGTGTGTCTTCTCTCAGACTCTGAGGCCCGCCCACACTGCTGGGCCGGCAGTTGTCCCTCGGGTCCTGCCCCCGGTGATAGCTCATGGTCAGAGCAGACGCGCTGCTCGTCGGCCGCTGGGGGGCAACAGGGTGGTGCGGAAAGAACCCGCTTTCCCAGGCGCGGCACCGCCCACTGGCTCCACGCCCGCCCTGCGGACCCCGCCCCCTCATCTTTGATGACGCTGCCCCCTCCACCTGTGCCACGTGCCTCCTCCCGGCCCGGCTCCCACCCCTTTCCCTTGAAGTCCTGCTCGCCCCGCGGGAGCGCCCACCCTTCCTCCGCGCCCACGGCCGCGTTAGGTGCGCGCAGCTCGGCCCACCAGTCCTCCCGTGGGTCCCCCTCAGGGTGGGGTGCGGTGGCTGGGGGTACACGGTGTCACGGAGGAGCGAACGGACGGGGGCTTTAGAGTCAGATGCTCGATGGGGTGCCCAGGGGCAGCAGCGGAAGGAGACCGGGACAGGAACCCGATTCTGGGGGCCGCGGGGGGCCTGTGTCTGAATCCTGCCTCCGCCATTTACGTGCTGTGCAACACGGGGAAAGTTGCTCGACGTCTCTGAGCCTGAGCTCCCCCACCTGTACAAGGGGGGCCCTGATACCTGTCTCAGAGGCTTAAGGACCCAGTGCGTGGCCAGCGCCTGGGGCAGGGCGGGAGCCGAGTAAACATCCCAGTCTTCTCTTGCCTTTGCCCCCCACCCTCCGCCCGCCACCCACTTCTGCTCAGACATGGGTCCTCGCTAGGAAGCCCTGTGAGGGTCACCCCGTAGCTCCCATCTCCCGCCCCGATGCACCTCCCCGGAGCTCAGGGACTGAGTCGTTGAGATAAACCGTATCAGCAGACTCCCAGCCTGGGCCTGCGCCCCAGGAGAGGACGGCAGCGTTCTCTTTTCCATTGAGCTGGTGCCCCCTGCTGGACGGCTCCGTGAATTACCGTCAGTGACCCCAGCGGACACTCCCTGGGACACCTTGCCCCCGCCACGCCCCTAAACCACGCACCCAGGCACATGCACACACGCTATACACAGTCAGAGAGGCCAGACCATGACAGCTCTCCCAGCCCACGTGGATGAGCCTGTCAGCCAGAGTCCTCCTGGCGTCCACGGCTGGGCTGCCCGCAGAACCCCGGGTGCGCAGGGCGGGCCCCGGGCAGGCGAGCAGGCGCTCTTGCGGCCGCAGGTCTGCTGTGCCTGGTCAGCTGCGTCCTCGGCATGGTGTTCACCACGGAGGCCGGCAACTACTGGTTCGACATCTTCAACGACTACGCGGCCACGCTGTCCCTGCTGCTCATCGTCCTGGTGGAGATCGGGGCCGTGTGCTACGTGTACGGGCTGAGGAGGTGAGGAGGCCCGGCCCCCAGCTGCTGGGGAGCCGCACCGCGCCCACCCCACCCCACCCCCCGCGGAGACCGCACTGTCTCCCCAGATCACAGCTGATTCTCCTCACTTCCTGTCCAGTTTGCCTCCGACCGCATCTTCCCTGTTTCCCAGGCTTCCACCGTTTAGCAAAGGATGCCGGCCTGTTGAGCCTGCTGGACCCCACTGGCGCGGGGCGGGGGGGGGCGAGGGATGGGGGTCAGGGAGTCGTCCCCTGCGCTGACCCTTGGCCAGCAACCAGTAGTTTCCAAGCCCACTGACCAAAGTCCAGCTGATAACTCGGACCTCAGCCGCTGGGCAGACTCAGGACCTCACATTCTCAACCCTGGTGCCCAGTGCAGCCCTGGAGTGTTCGAATCTCCCAGGGGACGGAGCAGGTGGCTGGGCTGAGAACCGCGGTCTGGAGCAGCTGTCCGACCTGGGTGGGGGGGGCCGGTTGGTTTTCACCCTGAGCCAGGCTCCACCCCCAGGGCGCTGTTAGGTAGCGCCACGTGGGGCGCAGGTGCCACGTGAGCCTGGGGCGGACGCTCTGAGAACCACTCCCAGTGGGGTCCCAGAGTCGCAGCTTGTTGGAATGAGGGGCGTGTTAGAATGCAGACTCTCAGGCCCCCCGCCCACCCAAGCCCCTGAATCAGATCCTGTATTTTAACATGACCAGGGGGGTGGAGACCCCCTTCCTCTTGGGATTCGCTGGTCGAATGTGAGCCTGGTGGGAAGGGCTGTCCCGAGTGGTTCCCCACCCAGTCCTTCATGGTCTTCCCGACCGATTAGGAGGTGGGGGGGCACCCAGCGTGGCCTCTGGGGGCTGGCCCCTCATGCCGAGTGTCCCTGTCTCCTTGGAAGCCCCACTGAGGGGGTTCCACGATCAAATTACTCAGGACACAGGTTAAAGCCAGATTTCTCAGAGCCTGGGAAACAGCTGTGCCTCTCCAAGAGGGGCCTGCAATCTGCGGCATTTCTGAAACTGGTGTGGTCAAGGAATGCCTTTTTACCCACCCCTGCTCCCCCTGCAGCAGCTGGTGACATGGGCGCACCCCGTTTTCCCGGGAAAGAGGGTTTCCTGGGGTGTCAGGGCTTTCGGGCACTAAACCCAGGAAGGACTTCCCGGGTAAATTGGGGCAAATGGGTCACCTAGGAAATGCCCGTCCAGAGGGAGAGAAAAGGAAGATTGGTCATCTGAGAGGCTGGGTGTTTCAGGGTAAAGGGAGAAAGCTGGGGACAGAGGGACAGAGCCTAGGGCCCACTGGGGGCGCTGGAAAGGGGCACCAGGGGGTGCACAGTGGGTGATGGGGAGGGAGGGAGAAACAGAAGGTGCCCTCGGGATGTCCTAAGCGGCCAGATCTGAGAATGACCAGCAGAGGGCAGTCTTTCTGCGCACAAAGGAGACAGCGCCATCTGGCGGCCACTTTGCAACAGTGCCTCGCGGCCTTTTTTCCTGAAGCCCGTTCTTCCCACCTTTATTCTTGAGGGCAGGGGGCAGGGTGGGTACAGGGACAAGAGACCCCAAACACTTTCTGCTGTGTGCGGTCTTGAAAATCCCTCGTGTTCACATTACGTACGTGAGTCTCCGTAGCCTAGAGCCTAGGGTCCCACTAGGTCAGCGGCAGCACAGGGGCAGGGAGAGGTCCCCGCAGGCTCCCGTGGGAACCAGGACAGGCCGTGAGGCAGGTGGCGGTGGTTGCAGCCGGTGGAGGTCACACCCTGCTCCCCCCGCCCCGCCCCACCTCCTACAACTGCCTCTCCCACCGTGGGGAGCAGCTTTAAAGACCCTGGGCTGGGTCGGCCACAACCCGGGGGTCCTCCAACAAGTCCCGTCTCCGCCCCCGGGGCCCTGGTCCTTCCGCGCTGTGAAACCGCCAGGGGCTGGGTCAGCGCGTCCCGGAGCGCGGAAGATGCTTCCGGCACTTACTGTGTGTGTATTGAAAAACATGTGACTGGCCCATCCAACCCACGACCAAACGGGTGCCCTTATGCCATGGCTACACTTAGGCAAAAGAGTCGGTTTAAAGAAAAGGCAAGAAAGGCGGCCTGCAGACGTGATTGGCCACAGCGGCGGTGCGCGGGCCGCTCGGGATCCTCTCCCCTCGCTCCAACCGCCGGCCGCTCCGCCTTCAGCCCCAGGTCCGGCTCTCCATCCGCCGGTCCCAGAATACCTACCTGCTGTGGTTCCAGGGGACAAAAGAGATTCCCTTCCGGGAGTGTTTCTTTCTTTCTTTCTTTTTAAAAATTTTTTAAATGTATTGATTTTTAGAGAGGGAGAGGAAGGGAGCGAGAGAGAGACGTCGGTTTGTTGTTGCATGTATTGATGGTGCATTGGGACGACGCTATAACCAGCTGAGCTACCCGGCCAGGGCCTCCCTCTAGCGATGTTTCCAATGGGCGGCAGAGTCACTGGGGTGGGCGGGGTGGACACCAGGGGGGCGGGAGGGGTGGGGCAGAGCTGCCCCTGGGGGGTCCCCTGGGGTTGAGGCCACCCAGAGTGATGATGCCCCATGCTCTCTGTTCCCGCCGCTGCTGGGAGCCGCCCTCCGGTCTACGTCCGCAGCCTTCCTCCGGAACCTGGCACCAGGAAGGTGTCTTTTTCTTCTTTTTATTTTTTAGGAGAAATATCTTTTTCTTTTTAGTATTTCTTTTTTTAAAAGATTTTATTTATTTATTTTTAGAGAGGGAAGGGAGGGAGAAAGAGAGAGAGAGAGAAGCATCAATGTGCGGTTGCTGGGGGCCGTGGCCTGCAACCCAGGCATGTGCCCTGACTGGGAATCGAACCTGCAACACTGGAAGGTGTCTTCTGACACCCACTCCTCTGTGGGGTGGCTGCTGCGCCCCGGCTCTGCGGCGGCCTCAGCCCTCGCCCCTCCCCACACCCAGCTCCCCGTCCCCAGAAGGGATCGGGGAGGGAGGCCCCGGGGCTGTGCTCAGTCGTGAATAATCTAGACTTTCTGTCCTGTCTTCCAAGCAGATTTGCAAGTGACCTGCAGGCCATGACCGGCCGCCCTCTGAACTGGTACTGGAAGGTCATGTGGGCCGGCGTGAGCCCGCTGATCATCATCAGCCTCCTGCTCTTCTACCTGAGCGACTACATCCTCACGGGGACCCTGCGGTACCAAGCCTGGGACGCCTCCCAGGTACCTGCCCTCTCGGGCCCGCACTCCCTGGAGAGCACAGGCCTTGGTTTCCGAAACCAGGGAACCTCTGGCGTGGGCACGTCATTTGTCACAACGTACAAACGTCACCCAGGCCCCTCAGAACTCTCAGCCCAGGACGGCAGAGCCGGGCTTTGAGCTTTTCAACAGGTGTTACTCTAAACAGAGATCCGTCCAGGACTTCCCGGGGGCCTTCTCCTGGGAGAAGGGGAAAGCCGCCTACAGAGGCCCTGGTTCCTGCCTCCCGGCCCCCAGCCAAGAGGTTCTCCGACTCTGTGCAGTCAGATAGAGCCCAGGCCTCCCTGGAGGTGTGGGCTCTGCCCCTGGCCGCTGACCCCGGGGGGAGCAGGCTCCTGGGCCCTGCGGGACTTGCCCAAACACTGGAGTTGCTGGGTCCAGGGGAGGCCTGGCCCTGGGGGCGGCTGACACAGAGCGGCCCACCAACCAGAGGGGCAAGGATGTCAGCACTTCAACAGCCAGCGCAGCCATTCATGGTCTGTCCTGGCCAGCCCAGGTTGTCCTCACACGGACACACTTTCATAGAAAAAAAAATTGGCCAGTTTGGGTTTCTTTCCCAGCGGGTAGAAGACGCAGTGTGTGTGGTGTGCACAGAGCAGTGAGCCCCTCCCACCCGCCCCTGGCAGACCGAGGCAGGCAGAGCCTGAGAGGCCGCCCCTCCGTCTGGGGAGGTCGGGTGAGCTTCTCAAACATGGGGGACCACGGGGGTGTCCTCTCCACCCTTTGCAGGCTGATTCTTTCGTAGGATGCAATAAGAACGACACTTGAAAGATGAAATGGAAAAAATAACGCACACACAAGTGCCCATTAGTTATTAGATTCAACAGACATGAGGGAATGCTGGCCATTTGCCAAAAACAGTTTCTAGATGTTTCCTCCTGATGTCTGGGTTCAGCAGTGCAGAGCAGAAGGGGGGCGGGGCCAGGGGCCTCTGACGCTCAGCTTCTCCTTTCAGGGCCAGCTCGTGATCAAGGACTACCCCACGTACGCGCTGGCGGTCATCGGGCTGCTGGTGGCCTCCTCCACCATGTGCATCCCCCTGGTGGCCCTGGCGGCCTTCATCCTGCGCTGTCTCAAGCGGGGAGAGGGCACGGCCTCCGAGGTCTGAGAGCCGGGCGCCCCCCCAGAGGAGGCCTCGTCCAGGGCTCGTCTCCCAGCTGCTCTTTCCGGATGGCTCCACCTCGGCTGCTGTTGCAAGTGTCGGCTTCGGAAGCTCCCGGCCCTCCTCTTCCGGAGCCCGGAAGGAAGAGTCTGGAAGTGCAGAGGAAGGAGGTGCCCCCTGGGAACCCGCACCCTGTCCCCGCAGCGGCCGCTCCGGCCGGACCGTTGCTCCCTCGGTTCTAGGAGCATCCTGGAAGTAGAGCACCGTGAGCTGCAACGTGACTGTGACTTTTATGGGACAAAGTGTAAGCCGTGGTTTCCCCCAAAGAGGTCCCCAAACACCTGAGGGCCACCATCTCTACACCAGTCTGAAAAGGAGTCTTCTAAGTGCCTGGGAGGACGGATCCGAACGTCACCAGCGCAGACTCGGTCCTCTCCGCCGCAGTGACGGTGCATTTGCTGCGCCCGCCTTCGCCAACAAGCCTGACTGCCCGTAAACAAGGCCTTGGTTGGGGACTCACAAAATTGGAATTTCTGCAAGCGGAGGTCCCTCACGGCAGGTCCAGGAGCAGTCCTCTCGACATGACGTGCCCCAACTCCAGTGCCAGCGCTGCTGGGACGGCGGGAGTCCACCTGACGCCGTGGTATTGGGGTGCGACGGCCAGGAAAGACCAAGAACACTACTTACAATCCATTTAAAGTTATTTATCTGTATATAAGTTTTCTAAAATGTATATAACTCAGAGCATCTTGTAACTGAAGACACCATATTTATGATAAAGTTTTGGTCCACCACGCTGATGTCTCCCGCCTTTTTTTTTAAATATAATTTATTGATTATGCTATTACAGTTGTCCCACTACCCCCCTTCATTCCCCTCCACCCTGCACACTCTCTCCCACCCGCATTCCCCCCCTTTAGTTCATGTCCATGGGTCGTAAGTTCTTTAGCTTCTGTATTTCCCATACTATTCTTGCCCTCCCCCTGTCTATTTTCTACCGACCACCTATGCTACTTATTCTCTGTACCTTTCCCCCTCTCTCCTCCTCCCACTCCCCTGTTGCTAACCCTCCATGTGATCTCCATTTCTGTGGTTCTGTTCCTGTTCTAGTTGTTTGCTTATTTTTATTGTTTTTGTTTAAGGTGTGGTTGTTAATAATTGTGAGTTTGCTGTCATTTTACTATGCATGTTTTTTATCTTCTTTTTCTTAGATAAATCCCTTTAACATTTTATAAAATAAGGACTTAGTGATGATGCACTCCTTTAACTTGACCTTATCTGAGAAGCACTTTATCTGCCCTTCCATTCTTAATGAAAGCTTTGCTGGATAGAGCAATCTGGGATGTAGGTCCTTGCCTTTCATGACTTGGAATACTTCTTTCCAGCCCCTTCTTGCCTGCAAGGTCTCTTCTGAGAAATCAGCTGACAGTCTGATGGGAACTCCTTTATAGGTTACTGTCCCCTTATCTCTTGCTGCTTCTAGGATTCTCTCCTTCATTGTTACCTTGGCTAATGTAATTATGATGTGCCTTGGTGTGTTCCTCCCTGGGTCCAACTTCTTTGGGACTCTCTGAGCTTCCTGGACTTCCTGGAAGTCTATTTCCTTTGCCAGACTGGGGAAGTTCTCTTTTATTATTTGTTCAAATAAGTTTTCTGCTGGTTGCTCTTCCTCTTCTCCTTCTGGTACCCCTATAATTTGGATGTTGGATCGTTAAAAGATGTCTTGGAGGTTCCTAAGTCTCTCATTTTTTTGAATTCTTATTTCTTCATTCTTTTCTGATTGTATGTTTTTTTCTTCCTTCTGGTCTACTCCATTGATGTGAGACCCAGCTTTCATTCCATCACTATTGCTTCCGTGTGCATTTTCCTTCATTTCACTTAGTGTAGCCTTCATTTTTTCATCTAATTTGTGACCAAAATCAACCAATTCTGTGAGCATCCTGATTACCAGTACTTTGAACTGTGCATCTGATAGGTTGGCTATCTCTCAGTCACTTGAAAGTACTGATTGTGGGGCTTTCATTCTGTCTGAGCCATCTTTTTTTCTTTCCTTTGGTCTGGTCGTACCTGTTACGTATGAGGGGCGGAGCCTTAGCTGTTCACCAGGGCAAGGCACCCCAATCACTGGGTTGTGACATTGTATGTGGGGGTGGGGTGCGAGAGGGAACAAGGGCGCTTGCTCCGCTCTCCGTGGGACCTTCCGCTGCTTCCCCCAAGCAAACTGGGCCCCTCTGGTGCCAATTCCCATGGGGGGGGCTTGTGTACCCCATGGGACCCTCCAAGGACCTCGCCTGTGAGGCTGGGAGTCTCTCCCTGTGCATCAACCCCCACAGGTGTTTTCAATCAGTGCCCCAAGGCTCTATTTCCCAGCGCTGGGATCCTGGGTTGCGCACAGTGCCTTGCTTCACAACTGCCGCCTCGCTGGGTCTGCCAGCTGCTGCTTGCATGCTCAGGGTCCACCCACTGCAGTCTTGTGGGTCCCGGATGCCTTACACGCCCGGTCCCAACACTCTCTGCTCTCCACACCTCGACCCTCGCTTGGATGCCCTACTCCACCCCTCCTACCAGTCTGGATGAATGTGTCTATTTTAACTTCTTGGTTGTCTGACTTCCATCAGTTCAATTTTCTGTCAGTTCTGGTTGTTATTCTGTTTCCCAATTGTTGTTGTCCCTATCTTGGTTGTGCGAGGAGTCACAGTGTGTCTACCTACGCCTCCATCTTGGCCGGGAGTCCTCTCCTGCCTTTTTTTAACAGCAGTGGGTGGGTCCCTTCCTGCTTTAACATTCTGAGGCCCTGGGGGTCAGGGTGGTTCCTCTGGGTTGGTTGGTACAGACACCTCTGAGGACCCTTTAACCACTCCCTTTTGACGTCAGCTGGAAATGTATTTCAAAAATATTCTTTTCATGCTACAAACTCTCCTGTGGCATGAGGAAGGTCTTTTGCTATCTTGAACTGCCATCCTATCAGTACTCCAGCTTCAGCGAATGGCCAGTGTAAAAAGATCACTTGCCTAAAGCTCACCAGCTCTGACTGGTGTGGCTCAGTGGGTTGGGCATCGTCCTGCAAACCGAGAGGTCACTGGTTCGGTTCCTAGTCAGGACACAAGCCTGGGTTGTGGGCCCCCAGTTGGGGGTATAGGAGATCGGTGTTTCTCTCCTTCCCTTCCCCTCTCTCAATAAATAAATGAAATCTTTTTTTAAAAAAAATAACATGGGAGAGATTAAAGAATAAAGAATAAAACGGGTGAGCCAGCAGTTATTGACCCCAAATTGTCCGTCCTCTGATTTCTTATCAGAAGGTTTTTAGTGTTGGAACACCTCGGACACCAAGGCTGGAAGAGTGAGCAGACTCAGCCGCAAACACATAGCGCAGATAGAGTCTGCTCCAGAATCCTTCCAGGTCAGACCCCGCCCCCAGCAATACGGCCCCGCCTTCCTGGCGTCAGGCGTCCTGGGGTGTTTCAGCCCCAAATGCCAGGTGCGCACAGGGGCATCGAGACAGGTGTTCTCCGAGATCATCACTTTATTCACACTGACTGGATTTCAGCGGTCTCCACCTGGCCACCCGTTTGAACCATCTGGAAGCATTTAAAACCCTGGCGCCCAGGCCACGCCCAGGAACCGCCAAATCTGAGAACGCACCATTGGAGAAAAGGAGGGAAAAGTGTTGTGCATTGAAGAATATTGACATCAAAATGGACTTAAAAAGTCTGAAAGCGTTTTTGAGCATTTCCAATTGTCTGGAAATGTCACTTCCACAAAATACTTTTGCTCACGAAAGTCAGATCAATGAACTCGCTCTGTTTATGGAATAACGAGCTCAGGTGAGCTGTCCCAAGTCTCAGTGTGTTCCACTCCGGTTTCCGTGAACTTCGTGGAACCTATTTCTCAATAATTCTCTTGAGCTGGTAGTGAGACCACTCTCAAAAACTTCTTTGTTGAATATTTTCTAGGGTTTTTTTTTAAGAGTTTATTTATTTACTTTTAGACAGAGGGGAAGGGAAAGAGGGAGACATCAATGTGTGGTTGCCTCTCACGCACCCCCTACTGGAGACCTGGCCCGCAACCCAGGCATGTGCCCTGACTGGGAATCAAACCAGCAACCCTTTGGTTTGCAGGCCAGCGCTCAACCCACTGAGCCACACCAGCCAGGGCTATTTTTTTTTCTAGGTTCTTCACAAAACTGATCATCTGGACATTCATCCACCCCCGCTCCCGTGCAACAAGCTGGAGAGAAAGGGGTCATTCCCAACCCTGTACGCTTGTCAGTAACCATGGCGATATGGCCTGGCCGCCAACTCCACAAAGCTTTCTGTTTCTACTGGAAACATAAGAACCCTTGACTTAGCTCTAAGGACTCAGGTGGGAAGTATTTGGTTTTAAACGACTGACATCGTAAGGAAAACCCTAAACAAGCATATCTAGGGGTTTGTCATTCACTGGTTGCAGTGTTAAAGCCTCTTTCTTGACTCAATGTTTTCCTTCCTTCCGTAAACATGCAAGCTAATTTGGGAAAAATGGAACGTGAAGAAGAGGAGGAGAATCCACCCAGTCTTTTTTCTATCATCTTTTCCACGTTTGCTTCCGTGTGAGCCCAGTGAAACCACACCGGGGCCGTGTAGGAGACCCGGAACTCGAGCAGGGGAAGGCTAGGTTCCGTAAGAAAAATTAGAATAAAAAGTTTCTAATTATCTGAAGTTAAGGCAAAGTCGGAGCTCTCCTGAACTGCTGCAGAATCCTCCCTGCCCTCTGTGCGGCGTCCTGGGCAGTCGGCCTATCTCTGGCTCTCTCTTTGGCCCAGGCCATGAGAAAGCACAGTGGGTTGTTAGCGCAGCACTTTACAACTGTGCTTCTGGGAAAGCGTGAGTAAACCACCATCTTCGATTCTTTTATTTAAGATTTTTATTTATTTTTAGAGAGAGGGAAAGGAAGTGAGAAAGAGAGGGAGAGAAAGGTCAGTGTGTGGTTGCCTCTCGCACGGCCCCTACTGGGGATCTGCTCTGCAACTCAGGCATGTGCCCTGCGTGAGAATTCAACCAGTGACCCTTTAGTTCGCAGGTCAGAAGTCAATCCGCTGAGCCACACCAGCCAGGGCGTCTTCGATTTTTGTTGGGGTACTTTTCATGGAAAAATACATTCATGGCTGTTCCACTACATAGATAGAAAAGCTGGGGCAGGGAATTAATGAACTCATCATTTTCTGCTCAACATCAGGGGAAGGGAAGAAAAAAAACAGATTTCAACATCACTTTGCAAAGCAAAAAAGTGCATCTACAAATAAGAAATTCTGAACCAGAATTTCTTGACCAGTTTCTTACACGTGAGTTGCTTTTCTCCCTACTGCCCACCTGCATAGCATCAGCCTCCACTGAGATCCCCAGCTGGTGTGAGACAAACCAGTCCCCGGGTGGGCGCTGGGGACAGCGCGGAGCAGGGCAGACACAGCCCCTGGCCTTTTATGCGCCCATATTCTGGAAAGCAAGAGAGACAGTGATGGACGATACGTGAGATGATCACAGGCTGTGGTTGTTTCTAAGAAGGAAATGGGGGCCAAGTGACGGTGTGAGAGGGACGGCACTTCAATCCGTGGTCGAGGGGGAGCTCCGTGAACTGGGTTTTGAAGGAGAAGAATGAACTAGTTATTGGAGTTGCTGGAAGGTCCATCCAGGCACGGGCCACCGCAAGGGCGAAGGCCCTGCGCTGAGCAGGTGGAAGGAGGAGGCCTGAGGTTGGAGGGAGGAAGAGAGAGTGGAGGTGAACTGCGGGGGCTGCCAGGGGCCGGGCCACAGGGGCCTTGGGGGCCACAGCAAGGAGCCTGGATGGGACTCGGCAACAGAACCGCACTGAGTGGTTAACACAGGCACCCTAGGGATTCTCACTTGCACTTGCAAGATCACTGGCACCTGGGGAGCAGGGAGTGGGGCGGGGTATAGACGGGAAGTTGGAGAATCACACCAGCAGCTCCTTCAGGAAGTTCACAGGAGGGATGATGACGGCAGGGCCTTGGAAACGGGCGTGGAGAGAGGTGGGCAGGTTTGACTTTTATTCCGGGGGGAGAGCTGCCTGGACCTGCTTACGGATTGGATGCATAGTTCAGAGCAGGAGAGGAATAGAATGCTTGACGTGCTGGGTGGATGCTGGCGGCCTTCTGTGAGACGGAGAGAGCTGGGGACGGAATGAGTCTGCAGAACAGGGATCAAGGGCTCCGTCTGACCTACCACGTCTGAGATGTCTGAGAATCGGGGAGACATCCAGTATAAGGCTCTGGGGCTTTGGGAAGGGTCCGGTCCAGAGACTCAGTTGGGGACCACCAGCACGGAGATGCTGTTTAAAGTTGCAGGTCTGAGTGTCATCTCCCAGGGTGAGTGTGGACCTGGGTAAGAGTGCTCAGGTCCAAGACCTAAAAAAAAAAAAAAGAAAACAACCCACTGGCCCAGGCGGCCCTGAGCTGGCAGGGAGAAGCCCAGCCCAACTGCTCTGAGGCCGCCATGCTGCAGGGCCATGCGGAGCTCCAGGTCACAGCACCAGCACGGCCCACTCTCCAGCCCTCCTTGCTAACTCGTCACACCAACCTGCGCCAGACAGACCCACCCACCCATCCGTCCACTGAGCACGACTGAGTGACCCCCATCAGTGCCGTCTGGAACAGAAGAACCACCCAGCTGAGCCTTGCCCCAGTTCCGGGCTCACAACACAGCCAGGCTCCCCTCCGGAAGGATTCAGCCAGGACGGGGTAGAGAGGGGCGAGGACCAGGCACTGCCACAGGGACTAACTGGGCGGAAGCCAGGAGAACGCACGGTCCCGGGGCCCGGCGAGAGCATCTCGAATTCTCCTAAACACGACACACCGCCAGCGCTTCCTACTTTCCCTGTCCTCAGAGTCCACGTTCAAACCCAGCCCTGCTGGAAGCTTAGGTTAGGACATGGAATGTAACGTGATCTTTTAATGGGTGATACTTGAGCTTTGCACAGCTAGAATAACAAACGGGCCACAGTCACACATCACTGAAACTGGTGAGCGGACACTTGGACCTTTGGCTGAAACCAACAAGTAAAAATTCGTGAATAATCTATAAAGGGGAGTGCTGAGAACCAAGAGGCTGTCCAGCAGCTCCCCTGGGACCAGGGCCCTCACTGGGATCATGAAATCTTCTTCGCTGCCCCTCCCCCAGTGAAGGCCCGTTCTTGGAGCTTCTGCATGACATCCAGCCCAGAGGAGGAGTGCGAGACACGAGAGTCAACGATGCACCTGTTTAGGGGCACCTGTGTGCACTCGACTAGGAAGAAATGTGAAGAAAGAAGACGTGTGTGATCTCTGGGTAAGATGCGGTGGCTTTGGGAGGCAGAGGACACGGGGCTTCCAAGGTGCAGGTTCTGTGCCCCCCGCCCCCACTCTGTCCCAGGCCCCAGAAAGCATCAGGAGGGGAGAGGTGAAGCTTTAGGCTGAGCAGGGGTGGCCAACCCCTGCAGCAGGGTCTTTCCCGCACACCCCTTCCGGGGAGGGAAGGGAGAGGGGTCGCGGGTACCAGCAGCCTGGTGGTGCCCGGGAGGGGAGTCCCCGGTGTGCTTGCTGTGTCCCCCCGGAACCCGCTTCCTCTCGGGGCTCCCTCCTCTCACAGGTGAGCGAGCACATTCCCTGGGATTGTGGGCACCAGGCTTTGCACCGCACAACTGACGTTAAGTGGAATCAGGTGATCAGGGCCCACGAGCTCCTGCTCAAATCGCAGGCTTTTGTGAGCCAAAGTTCCCATTGTTTTATGCCACTTTGGGGGCAACCAGGACACCTGGGCCTGAGCCAAAGCCCCACCCCCTGCAGGCCACCTGGTTCCCTCCACGCCTGCTCCGCGTCACACCTGCGCATCTTCCTCTCCTGACTGGCTGTGGAGCCGACGTCTAAGACGGCCCCAGAGATCCCCACCTCCTGGTACTTATGGCCCCCCTGAAGCTCCCTCTTCCTGGGCTGAGCTGGAGGGGGGTGGCTCGTTTCTAAAGCATAGAATGTGACGAAAGTGATGGGATGGGACACTTCCCAGATGTTGTCAAAGGACAGGAACTCCCATCTTGCTGGCTTTGATGAACCAGGCTGCCATGCTGGAGGCCTACGGGGCAAGCAACCTAGGACTTGAAGGGTTTATCCTCACTAAACCTGTATCACAATAATTTAGTATCTTCTGGCACCAAGACTCTCAGGCAAGCTGGAGGAAGAAACCCAAAGCCCCTCGTTTTTTAAGCCACACCCCCCAGCACCCCCCCGCACACATCTTACCCCACAGTCACTGGGGATTCTGTTCATTTCCTCCCAACTCCCGACCTGACACAGGAAGTCAACCCCAGGCCGTCAGATGGACCGACTCTCCGTCCAATGATGTGGGGGTCCCCCCAGCACCAGCTCTCCCCCCAGTCCCGCCCCGCCCCTGAGCCCTGAGGGGGCCACCAGCAAAGACTGAGAGCACAAGTAGGTGGCTCGGGAATGCCCTGACTAAACCTCATCCAGACTAGACACTAATCCCGCGCTCAGAAGCGGCTTTTCTCTTCTCCCCACGGACCGAGGGCACAGGCCGCTGGGCAGAGCCCCGATCAGTGAGTGCACCGCAGGGGAGGCAGGCCACAGGGCAGCGTGGGGGGCCACCGAGAAACCCTCTGCAGGAAGACGGCACGGGCGGTGGGGAGCAGGGGACGGCCACCCGCAGAGCCCACACCGGGGACGGCAGGACGCAGCCCGCGGCAGTGTGGCGCGGCTCATCGCCTGTGCCCAGGACCCCCAGGTCCCTGCCCAGTTCGGGGGGGTCTCCGAGGCCCCCAGGCGCTCCCTCAGGGGCTGACACCGCCATGGGGCGAGAGAACACCATCTACTGAGCAATGCTGTCCCACGTCTCAGTTGAGACCTGTGTCACCTGAGAAACAAATGCCCGTAGGGGGTGGGGGCGGGGACTAAGGGCCCGTTTGTGCGGACCTCACACTGGGCACTAAGTATCTCCCTGGTTTTATCTGTCCTCAGAAGTAACTGCTGTGAGGACACACACAGTTTCCCGAGTGGCCGTGACGGAGAGTTTCCGAAGCGACGGACCCTCCTGCTCCCCAGTGTTGCCGGCCTGCTCCCCGCTGACCACGCGGCTTCGCAGGGTGTCGACGACTCCAGCTGAAAAGGCGTTCGTTCCTTTGGGGACGAAGCGCAGGAACGACACCGACCGTGAGTGGTTAGAAAATATGACATTTTATTTCCACTTACGGATATACAGTACGTGAGTTCAGAACAGAGCACGGCAGGGTGCGACCCACCACGCCGGCATCGGCTCCCCCCCCACCCCCCTGCGGCAGAGCCGGCGGCTCGGGTTCCGTCGTCGTGAAGGGAGGTCCTCGACGTGAAGGGAGGTCCTCGACGCCAACGGCCCGGCGGCGTCAGAGAGACACGCGGCAGCGGGCAGGGGCCGAGTTTCGGCATTTCGTCTTTGGGACAAATTCTGCTTATTTACACGTTAGGGACAGGTAGTTCTAATTACTTACCCTAGTGCGAGTTTTAATGACTGATTTAAGCTACAGAAGGTTTTCCAGCTATTACTGCCTTTAGAGTTTCTAAAAGCAACAGTTCTTATTAATGTTTACAAAAGATAATGATGGGGAAAAAAAGGTAATGTTGAAATAAGGGTGCTTTTAAAGATGTTTAAGGAAAAGAAGACTGCTATTGAAAACTGTACATATTCCCAAGCACAACACAAACACTGTAGCAGCACTTAACCGAACTGTTTTAAAACAGTGGCAGTTACACCACCTCACGGACTCTTCTACTAGTTAAACCTCATAATTACAGTTTGAAGGTACAGCCCGGCTCAGGCCTACGCACGGCGGCTGAAGCGTGTTTCCAGGTTGGTTGGTTCACGTACATTAACGCTGACGCTGGTCCCTGATTGGAGAGCCACGCCCCACCCGAACGCACTGGGTTCCCTCGGCGTCACCGCCGCCCCGGCACAGCAGCCCCTCGGGGGCCCTGCGTCCCCTGCGTCCCCACGGAGGGCCCCAGGGAAACCAGAGTGCCCGGGAGGAAGTGGCGGGCCAACCGAGGGTGCTTCCCACGCCGGGGCGGTCCTTACAGAGAGCCGGCGTTGGACTGTTAGCGTGAGAGAGAGACTTTACATTCTTTGATTTCATTTACCCCTTTAGGAAAGATAGAGAATACCTGACCTTCTTCATCACACTCACACTGGGCCGCCCCCCGAAGGCAGCCCGACTGAAACTCCCAAGAACACGGCCCCCGCCCCGCCCCGCCCGCCACAAAGCCCCAGCCTGCTTTGTCCAACTCCTCGGTGAATGTAAAGACTCACATCTTACAAACGGCGGAGTTAGCTTCTTATCACACTCCTAAGGGAAGCCCAGAGAGGTGCGGAGAAGTATGCTCGCCGACGGCCACTGCTTCCGTGACGGCGAAGGTGAAACCGAGCTAGAAAAATAATTTCACTGTTTTAAGTCATGAAAGAAGCTGGATTTTTAAATATCACTAATTCTGCAAGAGTTGATTAAACGGACGATGAGCAGGTTCCTTCCGTCCCGTGAGCTGAACTCAGGTCGCGCCTGCACCGCGGAACAGCTGAAGCTCTCGGCGTGGCGGTCCCGACGGTGAGGAGGAGGTCGTCGAGACAGTGACGCCGGACGGACAGATGCGACGCTGCCACCCACGCGGAGCCCGGCGTGCTCCGGGCCACAGCCGTGCGCGGCCCCAGCTGCTGTGGAAAGCGGGTCAGTAAAGACTCCAGCTCTGCACGGCGGAGTCTTCTGAGCCGAGCCGCTTTCCACAGACACAGACTCAGTCTATCTTTTCCTTCTGGACCAGCCGGGGGGCGTCAACGAAATCTTTGCCGTTGTACAGGATGATGAAGAAGGTGCCGAAGCTCGCAACTCCCCAGAAGAGCACGTAGGCCAGCGTTTCTGTCCAGGTGTCACCTGTTGACAGAAGGAACGGAGAGGAGATGAGCCAGCGTGGTTGCCCACGGACACCGGAGCCCGCTGTCGGCCTTCAGCACGTGCTGACCCCCGGGTGTGCAGACACACTTACGGGACGAGAGGAGCGCCGCTCGCTGCAGACCTAGAGCAGCCGAGCTCAGGCTCCGCAGGTGTCGGGGTCTCCCCCAGTCCCGCCCAGCCTTCCTGACTCGGCGGGTCGGGGCCCGGGAGCCTGCATTTCTGCCCACTGCTGGCCCAGGGGCCACACCCGGAGAAGCAGTCGACTGAACTGTTTCATGTTATATCACACAAATAATAACTGCTTTTAGATTATATATTTTATTATTATAAGAAACTATCCCTGGCTGGCATAGCTCAGTGGATTGAGTGCAGGCTGGGAACCAAAGCATCGCAGGTTCCATTCCCAGTCAGGGCACATGCCTGGGTTGCAGGCCAGGTCCCCAGCAACCACACATTGTTCTCTCTCTCTCTCTTTCTCCCTCCCTTCCCTCTCTAAAAATAAATAAATAAAATCTTAAAAAAAAGACATTTACTTAAAATAAAAAACGTTATTACTAGTCTATTTTAGTCTATATTGTTAAAATATATATATATATATATTTTAATCCTCACCCAAAGATATGTGTTTTTTATTGCTTTTAGAGAGGAAGGAAGGGGGAGAGAGAGAGAGATATCTATTGCCTCGCCTACGTGCCCTGACCAGGGATCGAACTGCCACCTTCTGGTGTACGAGACGACACTCCAACAGACTTAGCCAGCCGGTCAGGGCACATCACGGGTAGTTCAGTTCACAGTATGAGCTGCGATCCAAATATCTACACAAAAATAACTATAAAATATACATGTGTCAGAAAAGTTACGTGTTAATAAGCGTCTAAGACAAAACTCCATAACCTACTTTCACAGCACACTCAAATGCAGCAGCCGCTGCAGGGAATGCGGCCAAGCTGAGAAGTGCCGGCCCCAGGACTCAGGGGGAGGGCGAGGGCGGGGTGTCCCTTCTCCCTGAGTGCCTAAGGCCGCACCTCTTAGCGCAGCACGACAGGCACGGGCCGGAACGGAGCGCCCGGAGCGCTGAGTATCGCTCCGCGGAGACACTCACATCTGCGGAGCTCATGAACTTCCTAACGTAAGGGAATGTCGAGAGAGAGAGAGAGAAAGCCAGGGAAGACCGTGTCCGCTCAGCTCTCGAGCGATCTTGCTCTCAATCGATTAAAAGTTGTAAGTACTGTATTAATCTACTATCAACACTAGTGTGTCCAATAGGTGGCTGGTTAAACAAACTATGCATCTATAAATAGAACACTCTGCAGTCCTTAAAAATAAGGAACATGGGAAAATATTCACATTGCTCAGTGAGAAAAAACACTACAAAAAACGTACACCTCACTCTGAAAAACATCACACACAATCGCAAAGATTAAAACATCAAAGAATTAAGAGTGGTCCGTGCATCTGTGGGAGGCAGGACAAGTACCTTCCTCCTTCTGCCTCCCTGTATTTTCTACGATTTCTAGGTACGACTTTGGCGCAGGAAAAAGTTTCAGAACTCTCGAGAAGGAAACGTTTGTGAAGCTACCGAGTATGTGTTTCTCCTCCGGCTGCATCTCGGGACTCGTCCCGCCTGCTCGCGCCGCTCGGGGCGCTGAGCTGGGGAACGCCCAGCCGCGCAGACCCAGACACTGAGGGCGCCGCGCGAGGAGGGCCCGGCCTTCTGAAAAACGGACACGAGGACATGGGACAGGGGCGGACTCACCGGCCATCAGCAGACAGATAATGCACATGGAAAAGGCCACCACCATGATGATGGGCAGCTGCAAAGAGAGCGGAGAGAGGCCATCAGGGAGAGAGCCGACCAGCGGCCGCCTCATCAGTTGTGCGTGCTTTCCCCGAAGAAGAGGGACACTTCCACAGCCCAACAGACAAACAGCCTTTTCCAACAGAACATCGTCACCACCCAGGGGCTCGGTCCCGACCGCCCGGCTCTCGGACCGGCCGTGTGACCAGGTCCGCGGGGCAAGACTCCGCTGCAAACGGAGCACTGAGGGAGGGAGGCTGCATGGGGGCCCCGGCATGGGACCCTGCCCCTCCTGCTCCGGCCCCTCCGCCCCCGAGGGGGCCTCCAGAGGCTCCCGCACAGGCCAGTGAGCAGGAGTCAGAGACGGAGAGGGCGCCGCGGCCTCGCCCGCGCACCTCAGCTCCCTGCACCTGGCCTTCCTGTGCGTGGCAGGTGCGGGTTTTTTTTAAACAAATGGCAGGTTTGTGGCGACCCAGTGTCCAGCAAGTCTATGAGGGCCATTTTTCTTAGAGGCTCAGATGATGGTTAGCACTTTTCAGGAATGAAGTACTTTTTAATCAAGATATGTACATTAGCAGACTACAGTCTAGTGCACATTTTTACGTGCACCAGGAAACCAGGACACTCGCGTGGCGCACTTGAATGCGATACCCGCTTTCTCGCAGTGCCTGGAACCGAGCCTGCAGCGCCTCCGAGGTGTGTGTATACGCCTGTGCTTTGTCTTCCAGGACTCAAGTCTGCCCCCAACCCCCGACTGTAAGGGGGGAGTCTGCCTGGACGCGACACCTCCCACACTCCCTTTGCCAGTGTCTTCACGGCACAGGGACGTGCGTGAGAAGGATGAGAGAGAAAGTGAAACCGGGAGGACACCGACGCTCCTAAGTGGCTTCCCTCCCCCCAGACCCTCCCCGACGGGGAGCCTGAGCCCCAACGCCCCAGCCAGAACCCCACACACAACCCCACACACTGTTGTGAATCTAGAGAAGGCAGCCCCACCCACGCCTTCAGATACAGCGCTTTTAATGGCTTGAAAGACATAAAGGTTTCTTACAGCCAGGAACTTCAAGTCCCTCGGAACACTTAAGGGACTGTGAGAGTCTAACTCATCCACCGAATAGTTCCCAAGGAACAGGTCTATGGAGTCCTGGAACAGAAACAAAGGAAATGATGAGCTTCACGTCGGGAGTGACCACGTCACCGGGGAACGGTGCCAAGGACTGGCCGGCCTCCTAGTGACCGGAGGTGAGCATCCAGTCCAAACCCACCTGCCGGAAGCCGTCAGAAAAGTTGTTCTTGTAATACCGGAGCAGCGAGTTCCAGCCGTCCTTCAGAAGTCCCAGCTGCGTTCTCTTCCCGGTTCTGGGTGGAAGAGGTTAAGTTCCGAGTTACGTATTTCCACATTAAATTCTCATCCTGCTTTATAGCGGGAGTAACAGTGGCCCCAAAGTACGCGGTAGGGAGGTACGGCAGCTACACAGATTTCAGAAACCAGCCCTGAGAGCACGGAGGGGGGGCCTCACAAAGGAAACCGACCACCCAGCAGGCCCAAGGAATGTGTGCTCCTTTGTGAAACACCAAGGAAGCAGCTCGCAGAGGAGGAACATTCCGTCTCCGGAGCCAGGGCGAGAAACGGGGAGAGCGACGCCAAGCCCGGGCTGAGCGGCTCGCAACGGCAGCACGACTGAGGAATGGCGCTTGGCCCCCGGGAAACACGCCGAGCAGAAGAGGCCCAGCCACGTCTGGGACCAAACCGCCCCGCCTCGCGCTGCCCCACGTGGCTCCAGGAGGCAGCCTCAGAACCGCCTGGGCACTTCTAGAACGCGCAGGCCTTGGGCCCCGCCCCCCAGCCCAACCTGCGGAACCCGACTGGGGTGACCCGGGTGCGCAGACAGCGGCCGAGAGGGACCGGGCAGCCGTGGTTCTCGGCTTCTCAGCTGTTGGTGCATCCGAACACCAGGGAGCGGAAATGCCCACCAGGGAGCGCCGGCCGCACCCCACGCCGGCATCCTGGCCCGGGCTCCGCCCCCGCTGCTGCCCCAGGACGGCCAGCAGCCTGTCGGCAAGGCCGCTGTGTCCGAGGCGAGCTTGCCTGGTAAAGTCGGTCTTCAGGGCGCCGGTCCCCGCATACTGCTTGGCACAAGCGTTCGCGTTGTCGGCCCAGGCTGTGGACAAGGGTCAAGATCAGCGGACACTGATGCAAAGACAGCCAGATTCTAAATCTAAAATACTAATACTAAAATACTAGTACAAAATACATTTTTTTAAAAGAAAATAGGCCCTGGCTGGCATAGCTCAGTGAATTGAGCTCAGGCTGCGAACCAAAGCATCGCAGGTTCGATTCCCAGTCGGGGCACATGCCTGGGTTGCAGGCCACGGCCCCCAGCAACCGCACATTGATGTTTCTCTCTCTCTCTCTTTCTCCCTCCCTTCCCCCTCTAAAAATAAATAAATAAAATCTTTAAAAAATTAAATAAAAAAAGGAAAACGGAACAATTGTATTAGCATAACCAATAACATATTGAAAATATTATTAAATATTATTTCAAAACCTGAGTAACTGCCTGTGTTAAACACCTACCATTTTTGTAAATCTTCTCAAATTCATCTTGTTCTTCAAGCTTCTGTCCCACGTGCAGAACGCCCAGCCTCTGAAAGAAGGATGCCCCGTGTTTACGTGCGGAAGGTCTCAGCGCCCAGGTTTAGCAGCCAAAGCAGGCCGTCCTCAGCTCCTCTCCCGCGGCTCCTGGCTGCTGGGGGGGGTGTGCTGCCCGCTCCGCAGGCCCCGGGGGCCCCGCCAGTAACACAGGAGACGCAAATAAAAGCCACCTCTAGGTACTACTTCATATTATTGAAACAGAAAAAAAGTTTCAAGTAAAAGTATCTAATGCTGGTAAGAGTGCAATGCAATAGATTCACTTATTGCTGGCTGATGCCTGCGTGAACTGGCGGGATGCTCTGGAAAAGTCATATATATACATGTGTACACATAGATACGTGTCTATGTAGCTATATGGATGTACGTTCCCTTTAACCCAGTAACTGAGCTTCTGGGGATCAGCCAAAGGAAATACTCCACGTTAAAAACAATGCGTACAGACACAGTCTCTACAGTGCCATTGTTTATGAGCTGAAAGTGTGACCCAAAGGGCTCGGGGAGCTGCAGTGTAACTGAAGGCAACGCTGGGCGACTGTGGCTCCGCCCGACGCCGGAGGGCACGGCACGACTAACGCTGGGCGTGAGCAGACGGGCCGCGGCCACGGAAAACACGCCGCCGTGGGTGGCGAGACACGGCAACAACATGAGTGGGCTTGGGGAGAGGGCCACGTGCAGGACTCTGTCCCTGGTCTTTAAGGACCAAGTCTCCTCAGCTTCCGGCCGTGCGCTCACAGGAGCCGCACCTGCAGCTGGGCCTGCAGCGAGCGCCGCGCCAGCAGGCTCTGGATCACGTTGGTCCGGTCCAGGCAGTCCATGCAGTTGCTGCGGAACACGCCCTCCTGGGTCGCCACCACCTTGCCGGTCGAGTCCACTAGAAAATAACTAAAACACATTTGTATAAACACTCTCATAGAAGTCGGTGACACCTACTAAGGACATGCTCTCATGACACAGGCCTCCCATCAGCAACGTTGCTGGAACCAGTGCATTAAAAGGTCGGAGAGGAAATGCACGGTCCAGGCGTACTCGACGGCCACAGACCAGAGAGACGCCGAGAAAGAGCAGGCGCCGCATCACAGGCCACCGCCCCCGCGGCAGGAAGCAGCGGCGGGCACGTCCCACTGGACCGTGTCACGCCCCGGGCGACGCGGAAACCCCAGCGGCTTCCCACCCTCACGAAGACGAGGAAGGCCCACGGCGCGAACCTGCACGGGAACGTGCAGTGGGAAAAAACCCATAAAATAGCAGCAAACTAACTTTGTGGTGTAAAAAATGTGTAAATGTGTGGAAGATAACTTATAACAACACAGAAATGCCCCGCTGCGGGTCACTTTTAAGGACTTGTGAAAACAGCATTTTTAGCCCTGGCGGTGCAGCCCCGCTGGCGGGGCACCAGGCCACAACGGGAAGGCTGCGGGCTCCCCTCCCGCCCAGGGCGCACACCTGGGCTGCAGGTTGGGGCGCCTTCGGAAGGCAACCAACAGATGTTTCTCCCTTCCTCCCCATCTCTACAACAAATTTTTAAAGATCACGAAGTCTCATCTTTTCAACAAAAGAAAACGCTAGAGACAGCAGCGCAGACCAGCGCTGTCCGTCCATCCGGGGACCTGTGTCTGCAAGTCTGCGAGTAAAGAGTGAACACGGCAGACGCGCATACAGACACCCCCCCCACCTCCGCAGGGACACGGGGCGAGACAGCTTACCTCAGCTCGTCCTGCATGTCTGCTACCTGCTCCAGCAGAAGGCTCAGCCGGTCCCACCGCATGTTCTTACATTCCTTGTGGAAGTCAAAGGCGATGTACCTGCCGAAAGGAGAGGCACTCGAACTGGCCAAGGACCGAGCACTCGTCTCCCTCCTCCCAGGAGCACGTGCACACCGGCCCCCTGCGCACCCCAGCACACGCACGGGCGGCCGGGACAGCAGGCCCTGCTCCACTCCGGGTGTGCCACTGCGCACACGCCACCTTCTTCTCACGCTCACCGCCCCCCCGAAGGGAAACCCGCACACGCGTCCTGCCCCACGGGCTCCTCGGGGGCCCTCGGGTGGGGCGGACTCGGCCCGCCCAGTGCTGGAGAGGTGCACAAAGGCACGGCAGTCAGGTGCGGGACGCAGAGGAGCCCCTCCACCCGAGTACCTGGCACACGCCTGTTCTCTCGCCCCATGTGCAACGGGTCGGGTCCCATTCTGTTGTTCTCACATTCATTAAAACGTCCCAACCGGTCAAACGCAATGCAGCTGTCTGTTGTGTGCTAGGGGGTGTGAGCGGAACGCAGGCAGGACGGCCCCACTCTGGTCAGTCACCGACCACGTACCAACGTCCACACATCACACGCATGGGGGCAGAGAGCAGTGTCTCGCTGGTCGGTCTGTAATGGGGTCTTTGCAGCTCTCTGGATTTAGGGGGCACGCCTCTCACTGTGGGAGCACACTGAACAGTGAGGTGGCTGCCCACGAGCTGGAAAATGCCCCGTCGAAAGGGGAATCGTGACCCAGTCCCTGAAGGTCACGGGAGGAAAAGAGGACGCAGGGGACCCTTGCATGCTCATCTCCGCCCGTGTCCCCACCCAGGGGCCAGGCCGGGTCACGGAGGAGGAGGAGGAGGACTGGGGGGACACGGCACACGTCCACACAGCGACGTCCAGAGGGGGCTCCGAGGGGCTGCAGGGGCACCAACAACGTGGGACCCCGAGCAGGCAAGAGGGGCTCCTAGCACCTTGATCACCGCGGGGGAGACGGTGGAAACAAAGCCAGAAGTCGGCATGAAACCAGAGGTCAGCGAGCTGGGAGGTCCGGCCTCGGCGAGACTTGGGGGCCGGGGGGCATTTTCAGTGGCGGCTCCGACGGCAGTGACGGAGCGGCAGTGGGGCAGTGTCCCTGGGGTGCTCTGACCACAACTCAGAACTCCACACCCGTCTCAGGACTCTGGACAGGTCCCGAGCGCCTAAATGTATTTGCACCGACTCTCAAGCTTACAGCCTCCGAGAGTCACATCTGTATCCTCCAAGAATGACTTACGTGGCCTTCCTTTGGGGACAGTCAGTGATGTTCAGTACACCACCACACTGCTAGACCCAGCAGGCCAGCAGCCCCGCTGCGCCCACAGCCCCGGGGAGAACCCCAGCGCATGCCACCGGCACTCCCACCTCTGTCCCCCGGCCTCCCTGGCCCCCGCGTCTGTCCCAGTGCACACGCTCACGCCTCAGAGGGCCTAGCACACGACTCCTCGCTTTCCGGTCACTCACCAATCCGTGAACTCAAACAACTTCACTTACCCAAAGTGACAAAGATTAAAAAACTGGAAAGTGAATCAGTGAACTAAAAACTGGAAGTGAGTACCCACTAGAGAGCTGAAAGATGACAAATCAACCATTTGGTTTCCCTCTCATCCCCGCCAGAACACGCACTGACGGAGTAGCAGGAGTAAACCACACTGTCTGACGTGCTCCCCTGCCCGGTGGTCTCTCGTGTCCCACGCGCCCTGGAGCCCCCGGGCGTGGCTTCAGACTGGGATCCCGTCTCAGGCCCCCCAGTCTGGCTGCTGCTGTTCCAGCTCAGGACGGCCTGGGAGGCGAGCGCACCCACGGGAGGTGTCTGGGGGCCGCAGGCCGGAGGAAAGCGCTCCAGCTCACGAGGTGGCGGGGCCCCGGGAAGCGGTCCAAGGGGCTGCAACTTGCGCCCCGATGACCAAGTGTCACCCCACTCAGGGCGGGGGTTTAATCAGGGACCAGACTGTTACAGAATTCAAGTTAAAGCTCCACTGTTAAGAAGATGCTGTGCAACAGAAATTATGCCAGAGAAAATCGCAGGCCAAGAAAAACATGCTTTGATCTGGTATTTAAAACAAAAACTGTTGAAGTGCATGTCAATGAAACACGCACCACGTGAGACCTGTGCACGTGTGTGTGTGTGTGTGTGTGTGTGAGTGCGTGTGTGCACCGCTCACCCGCACCGCCCCCCAGCGGGTGTCCAGCAGGTACCTGATCATTCCATTTCCCAAGGAAGACACCATGGTTGCGAACGCTTGTTCAAGCGGCTTCTCTGACCCCTTCTGGTTCACCTGTGAAAAAGTACAAACACTAGAGCTTTTGGCTTCTTCCAGATGGGAGTGGCATCAGCACAATGGAGGACTGGGGTGCCCTAAGCCCTTGCTCCTTCACAAAAACACTGAAAAAAAAAACAGAAGCTGTCCGATTCAGCTATATAGGAGCTCTGGAAAACAATCAAAGGTTCACAGCAACCAGGAAAACACCCAATCAGGAAGAATCCACCAGTGAAGTCACGGAACGGTTTTGGGGTGGGGTTCTGACGCGCTCTCGCGCCCACCCCTTCTGGTGCAGCAGGGTCCTTGTCTTGGGCAGTGGCACCCGCTCTCAGCTCCCCCCTCACACTGGGGGGGGGGGCAGACCCCACTCCGCCGCACAGCGCGGCGTCTGTTCTGCTCCGACCTAAAGGACGGGCTCCTCTGCCTCTGTCCCGCGTAACTCTGAACACGACGGGGGAGTGGGGGGCGCTGCTGGGGAAAGCTGCAGCAGGACCACAGACCCCCACTGCCTGGGGCACGAGATGCTGAGCAGAGACAGGCAACAGACCCTCCCAGCCTGCGTAAGGCTCTGGGGCGATGTTCTCTGGGAAATCGGGACGTTAAAAAGCAGCCACGTACGAGAACACCACCTGCATACCCAGGTGAGACGCAGGCTTGGAAAGTCCTGAGGACACCTTCGGTCTTCCCCTCAGGCCGACCCCCGGGCTCAGAGCGGGCCTCCTGACCTGCAGAGGCTGGGAGCTAATGTTCACTCTTTTTTTTTGTTTGTTTCAATTCCCGACATTCAAGGAAATCTCCGTCAAAACACTGGCTGAACGTGAGCTAAAGGAATAGACTCCAGTGAGCGCACGTGACAAGAAACAGTCTGAGCAAATCCAGTCTGGAGTCTCGGAACAAACGGCTTGCTGGAGCCTTCAACGGGCAGAACCACACACACACACACACACACACACACACACACAGAAAGAGCACACCCGTGGGTCCGGAGTTAGCCGGCGCCCCGATTTCAGCCACAACAAGGAAACCAGGGGGCACACGGTGAGACAAGGAAACAAGGTGTGTTCAGTGACCACGGGCAGACGGACACAACCCCCTGCAGAAACCCTGTTAGGAAGAGGTTCAAGCAGAGCGGTCTCCCCCCGCCCCACCCCGCCCCTTCGCCCCAAGTGCGTGCTCCCTGCCTCTCTCCCCTGTGCTCCGAGGGGCCCTTCTGCCTCTGTAACTTGTTTCCTGGTCCCTCGCCCAACTGGCTCACTTTCCTACCTCCGTGACCTTCTAAACTTTCTCTTATCGTTTTAAAAAAATATGCTCAGAGCTGTAATAAAAGATGGACAAAAAAATTAAAGAGAATCAGAAAAACAGTGTATGAACAAAACGAGAGGCTGAACAAAGAAACAGATTACTGAAAGGAACCACACGCTAAGTCTGGGGCTGAAAAGCACAAAATGGAAGTTCAAGGTCACGGAAGGGGCTCACAAGCACATTTAGCAGGAAGCAAAGGGAACCAGCAGGCCTGGAGACGGGACAAGCGACACAGTCAGGTGTGCGGGGCAGACAGGGGAGAGAGAAGCAAAGGAACAGAGGCCCAGGGCCCTTCTCGTACACCACCCGGCAGGCTGCGCGCTCACTGTGGGGGTCCCGGAAAGAGGGGCCAGAGGAAGGGGCGCAGTGACCACCGTATTTTTCAGACCAGAGGACACACCTAGGTTTTAGAGGAAAATAGGAAAAAAATGTTGAAGCAAAAAATGTGGTACAATATTTAATAACATAAATAACATAATATTTCACCAACGTAAATGTAAAGAGAACTCAACAGCGGCATTATCAACCATTATTCCTCCCAAATCTGGGGGAGGGGGGAAGGGACGTCTCATAGTCCAAAAAATACGGTATTTAATGAAAAAGTGGCCCCAAACCTCCCGTATTTGATGAAAAATAAACCTTCAAACCCAAGAGGCTGACCAAACTGCAGTGTATAAACCCAAAACCCCCCGCACCAAACACGTTGTAACTAAACTTTGAGATGCAGAAAGGACACTGAACTCACATCACACACAGTAAATTCTCCACAGGATCATGTGACCATTTCTCTGCGGAAACCTCGGAGCCAGAGGCAGTGGGCTGGCACACGTGACGCACTGAGAGAGCAGGACTGTCTGGGGACAACAAACGAACGAACCAGACAGACCAAAGTCCACGGCCTCGGACAGCCGCGTGGTTGCCGGAAGGAAAGCGGGACAGGGAGCGGCGGGAGAGGGGGGCCCACGGACGGTGACGGAAGGAGATCGGACCCTGGTGAACACACTAGAACCGAACACCTGTGACTCATGTCATTTTATTAACATCACCCCAATAAATTTAAAAAAAATAAAAAAAGCAAAACGAAACAAAACAAAAAAAGAACTGTCAAGCAAAACTTCTCTATTTTGCAAAATGGTCTTTCAAAGTCGAGAGAGCAGCTCAGACAGCCTCAGACAACCAGGAGCTGAGGGAGCTCACTGTCCCCAGACCCGCCCCGCAGGGAATGCTACAGCAGGTCCTCGGGAGGAAATGCAAGGGTGCTGCAAAGTATCTCCAGAGAAGGCAGGCCCATGGCCACTAGACACAGGAAAAGATGCTCCAGATTGCCAGTCATCAGAGAGACGCACGTCAACACCGCGAAGGCGCAGCACCTCACACCCACAAGGACGACCACGATAGAAAACAAACTACGGAAAATGACAGTGCTGGCACGGGTGTGGAGATGCCGGAGCCCCGGTGCATTGTCGGAAGGAAGGCAAAACTGTGTTCTGCACACTCAGAACTGTAGCTCCAGTGTGGCTGCTCCTTAAAAAGTTAAACACAGAAACACCATGAGGGTCGGCGATTCCATTCCTGGGCACTAGAGCTGACGAAGAACTGGACTCGGGGACTCAGACAGACGCCTGCACACGGCGTGGAAACGCCCCGATGCCCACCCACCGGCGGGCCAGGGGGTGAAGGAACCGCGGCACACACACCACGGGGCGCTCAGTCCCGGAGAGGGACGGGATACTGACACACGCTGCGGCAGGAACGGACTTCGGGTAGCAGAACAGCAAGGCCCCAAGGAACAGACAGTGAACAGGCAGATTTACACAGGACGTGGGGCAGAGGTAGCTGGGGCAGAGGAGGGGCGGGTAGCAGAAGCTACGTTTAACGAACACTGAGCTTCTGTTCGGTACGATGAAGCGTTGGAAATGGTCAGTACAACACCGTTTCTGGTTGCACAATGTGTTTTTTTAAAGACTTATTTTTTAGAGAGAGGGAAGGGAGGAAGAGAGAGAGGGAGAGGAACACCAATGTACGAGAGAAACATTCATCAGTGCCCTGTCACACTCGCCCCCCGGGGACCTGGCCTGTAGCCCAGGCACACGCCCTGACCGGGAACCGAACCCATGACCTTTCGGTTCACAAGCCGGCATTCAACCCAGTGAGCCACACCAGCCAAGGCTGCCCACAATTCCTAATGCCATTAACTGCACACTTAAAATGGTTAAAATGGTAACATTTATGTTAAAAATGTCACTTTTTCTTGGTTTGTTTTGCTCCCCCAGAAACAAGAAAGAAACATACCAGGTTGACTATGACTTGTTTTCCATAAATAATTAACTGAGAGTCAAAATGCCTCTGGAAACCATCCATCTAGAGAAGAAAAAAAGAGTTATGCACTTTATCAGCGTACACTGTGAGGATCTTCGTGAGACGCTTTAAAGCAATTAAAGCATCTTCTTCAACGTCCGCGCTGCAGAAACCTCGTCCTCGTGTGGACAGTCCGAACGCCACGAGGAGAACGGCAGTCCCGGGCCGCGCCGCTCCGAGCTGCGAGGCCGCAGCTGTGACCGAGCACCGTCTCCACCAGAACTCGCCGAACACTCGGGACACCGAGCAGTTGCAAATCTCGCCGGAATCTCTCAAGTCTGAGTGTGTGACGCCGTTCAACCACAGCTTGGTTTTCCCACTCCTGACACGCCATCTGTACAACCGTCTGGACCAAACGGAGCAGAGACTCCAACTCTGTGGAGTCTCTGGGCTACACATTAAATAAATACACACTGACGCGTGATCACAAAAACATCTCATGATGTTTTAGGTACATTTACGACTTTGTGCTGGGCCGCATCCACAGCCACCCTGGGCTGCACGCAGCCGCACGCTGGACACCCTGAGGGACTCACTGAGTGCCAGAACCAAGAAGAAAGGCCTCAAAGATGAGGAATCCTGACTTATGAGGAATAAATATATGCTCTATACATAAATTATAAAGCCAACTAGCTTCTATTTTAGCCAACAAGGAAAACCTGGAAGATACACACATGATTTGCTACTTTGTTGATCTGTGGCCGCGGTTTGTACTTGAGGTTGGGTCTCTGGGACCAGAAAACTGGTATCGATCCCCGCGTCTAGAAGAAAAGAGAGCCACGTGAAAGGAAACCCACACGCAGACTGGACTTTCCAGCTAGCTGCCACCGGCAGACACACACCAGTGACTGCGGAGGAAAACCCGTAAACACAACCCACCGACTGAGGAGTCCATGTGTACCGCTCCTAAAGTTCCCGTGTTGTGGGAACACTTTTGGGAAGGGGCTTTTCTCCGTCTGACGTTATATACACGACCCCAGTACACCGTTCAGTGTTTCCCCCAAATTCTAAAATAAACCAGTTCATCTGCGTCAAAACTAACAAGTGACGCCTGTTACCTGACTTTGCATTATAAAAATAAAACCGGGAAACAGCTGCACGCTTTCTCACATGAATCTCACACGTTTGGCCAGTAGAGCTCTGGAGGGGCTAGCGGCCCACAACTCCACAACTCCTGGGGGCGGCAACGAGAGAGACAGGCTGCCTCGGAACGAAGGGCAAGGCCGAGGGCCCGCTGTCCCGCCGGCACCGCCCAGAGTCGTCGGTCTGCAGGACCGAGCTGGGGGAGGCTCCATCTCCCCAGCCCCCGCCCCTCTGACCCTACCCTCGCCTGCAGGGATTTCGCGGAAGGGCAGGAAATACCAGCAAGCGAGGGCCAGGTTAACGGACGCCTTTGTTCCAGGTGCACTTTCCCCACACTGTGGACAGAGATGTGACTTTAGGGAGGAGGGAGGGGAGAAGCTTCAGTGACGGGACAGAACGCTGCGACCCCAGCACAGAGCCTGGCCGGCTGGCCGCCACCCCAAGTCCGCCCCCCAGAGTCCAACGTGCCTGGACAAACGAGGCTTTGCTTCCACCATAGTGCACGATCTGTTCTGTTTCCACAAAGTTAGCTGCGTGGCCCTCAGAATCAATCCCTAAGGTGAAAGAAAATTCAATTAACTGTCTTTATCACATTAGAAACATATCAGAAAATGCAATGTAATTCAGAGAGAATTAAGTCAGTTCAAGTCAGTGGAAAAGTACTCGTAAAAATGGGTTTTAAACAAGTGCACAATGCATGATCAGAAAGCTAAGAAATGCTCGTTCATGCTAAACAGGCTTAAAGGGTGGTATTAAGGGCCTATTAATAAATAAAGTTGGTTGTTATTTAATGCATCGATTGTTTATGCAGACACACTCCTGTAATTCCCCCAAAACAGTGTTTCTCAACCTTGAGATATATTTAATAGAAAACAAATTCTCAAGGACTCTTGGGAGTATGTTCATAAATCCCAGTTTAAAAAATACTACTGTACTATTTTGAAAGTTAAAACCATTAAGCACAGTATTTAATGCAAATGTGGGCCATTATGTTAATAGTATTTCATTATCATAAGCAAAATGGCCCCGCAGAGGCTTATGATGATCATAATTATGCGAACCCCACGGGCAGGAGCCCCGGGCCCCGTGGGAAGAGCCCGCTCTGAGGGGCCGGGTCCCGCTACCAGGAGTCCCTTCCAGCACCGGGGCCCCCGCCGTCTGGTCTCCACGCCCTGTGCTCGCTAGGAAAGCCCGCTGGGCCCCGGTGACTTTCGAGTGAGTCCCTGACTCAAATCTCCAAATTACCAGGAAGAAATCAGTGGATTTGTAACTGTCTGAAATATTTCTTAACGTTATTTCTACCTGGCGTATTTCTCAAACAAAGCGTTTTGAGATGTGAGGTGTCAGGGTTTCTGGTAGCGTGTTACCAGACGGGGACAGGATTACTGAGTCAAATCCGTAAGGAAGCGCCTCCTCGGTGCCTCTCGAGTGACTTGTCGGAAGCACAGACTACGTACACTGGGTCCTTCCCACGGTTCCCGTATTTCCATTACAGAACAGCACGTAGTTATTTCTAAAAGCGAGGTGCAGAAGGGGCGGGGGCAGAGAGGCAGGCCTCTGTGGAAGGCTTTCACAGCACACCGAGTTACAGACAACCACGGTGCACGGTGGGAACTGTGCGCAGTGCGCAGCCGCCGTCACGAGGGGAGGCGAGCACACACCTGTGGGGACAGAATCCCCCGGAAGGATAAACAGCAGCTAGCAGCTGACTGGCGGGTGGGGGAAAGACACAGCACATGGGACCAGAACAAGAAATATTTTTCATTGCATTTTTTTATACTTTAAAAAAAAAACAACTTACCAAATTTTTTTTTATTTAAACAGAGAGAGAGAGAGAGAGAAACATCAATGTGCAGTTGCTGGGGGCCGTGGCCTGCAACCCAGGCATGTGCCCTGACTGGGAATCGAACCTGCAACCTTTGGTTTGCAGCCCGAGCTAAATCCACTGAGCTACGCCAGCCAGGGCTCTCTTTTTATACTTCTTGATAGCTAAACTATATGAATGTATTACCTATAAAAAACTCAATTAAAAATTATGTCTCCAGCCCTGGCCAGGAGGCTCAGTTGGTTAGAGCATCATCCCCTCCACCAAAAGGTTGCGGGTTTGATCGCCGGCCAGGGCACACCCCTAGGTTGAGGGCTGGATCTCCAGAGGCAACCAACAATGCCTCTCTCTCACGGCAATGTCTGTGTCTGTCTCCCTTTCTCTCTCTCTGCAGCCAGTAAACATATCCCCGGGTGAGCATTAAAAAAAAATTATGTCTCCACCCAAGAAAATCTGGTTACGGGGAAGCTGCTAACGCGACTCTGGTCTGGAACCTTGGCCAGCTCACGTACTAAATGCCTTCCTTCCTCTGCTCTCTCGTCTGTAATAAGGGAGATTAACCAAATAACAACTTCCCAACCCAAAACTTCTACAATTTATCCAACGGCCCACAGGGTTTTATCCCAATAATCTGGCCAAAAAAAAAAGGTGAGAAAAACTCCTTTTCATGACAGTAACTTTCAATACAGATTTTAAAAGGCTGGTTTAAGTAAATCAGCATTTGCCAGTACAAAACCTAGAGAACAAACGCTCAACGTGGAAATCTTCAGAGCTGAGGTCCTGAAATCAGACGTCTAGCTTCATGCATGCGAAGCAGCCAAGAACGAGAGAGGCACACGCTCTCTGGCAGGGGGCTGAGGCTACCAACAACCGCACTGAGCTCAGCTGGCTGCACACACCCAGCCAGTAACACCCGCCGGTCCCTCCTGAAGCGGTGGGAAGCAGCGGAAAGCGTCCCTCAGCACGGGCAGTGCGGCTGCAGTGGCGGCAGAAAGGCACGGAGACCTAGCTCATCGTCACAGTGCGGCCGGAGGTCAGTGTTTACTGAGGCCGTCAGATGGCCATGCAAACAAACAAAACACAGGAGGCTGCAGTCGCATCACCGTAAGCCGGACGTTAATCACGGCTAATGTAGCCTAGCCCGGTGCGGCTCCGTGCCAGCAAAACCGACCCTACCTCGGACATAGTAGCGCACGCCAGCTCTGAAACAGCTCCTCCTCGAGATGAGAATCCAGTCGAAGCATTTGCCGTTAATAGAACACGAGTGCATAGTAATAACTTGGCCACATTAAGGAAAGTGTAGCACACAGAGGGATCACATGTATTACCCCAGACGGGAGGATCCTGACGAGGGGCACACAGGGCGTGGGAGAGAGAGGAGCTCGGGACGACTCTCAGTCCGCGGGGGTGTCTGCGGGAACCCCGAGCGTCCCAGGTCTGAACAGAACCCTGAACACTCCGCAGCCTCCCCCAACCTCTAGGCTCTGCCCCAGCTCAGTGGATGGCTTCCTTCCACTCACTCTGGTCAAACATTCAGATTCGTAGGGAACTTCTCTCTCTTCTACCCCAGGTACAATTCGCCAGAAAATCCTGCAAAACACATCTGGAGCCTGACCCCTTTCCATCACCACCGCTGCTACCACCTTAGTCCCAGGCAGCAGCACCCGGTGCCCGGCCCCCTTCCGCTGCCCAATTATTGTGTCCCCCCTCGCTCTCCTCTGGCCTCTCCTCTAACATGGCTGTCACCCCGTGACCCTGACGTCTCACGCCAGTCCTCTCCTTAGATCCCGGCAGTCCCTCATCGCAGCTGAAGGGAGACTCAGCCTTCTCGGCCCGGCAAGACCTGGGCCCAGGTGCAACACTTCTCTGGCTGCAGCCCCTCGCCCCTGCCCGCGCCCTCTGCCCCAGGCACGCGCCTGCCCTGGGCCTCGCTCTTGCAGATCTCCGTGGATTGGAAACTTGTGGCTGTACCTCTCATCAAGAAACTACATTAAACAAACACTAATTTAGAGTTTTAGATTAAGCCAAGTGGATAAACTATTCCAAAATCGCCTAGAAAAAGTGTCCTGTAAGTCTCGCTTGACAGTATTTGTCCACTGACATCTCCTTTGGGGGAAAAAACAGTAATTGGCCCAAACCCCCTGAAGCACGGCCTGAACACACCTGCTCTTCTTTCATCCTTGGGGGAACCTGGGAAGCTCCAGGGAGGAGAAAACCAACCAACCAACCCACCAACCCACCAACCTACCCAGAATAAACAAGAGCTTTCTACCCTGAGATTTTCTGACCATGACCCCCCATGACTGTGGAAAACGTTTTCTCTGTTACTTCTCCGCTTTTCTTCACGTCCAACACGCACAGTAACTGAAGGAATCACAGCGTCACAACAAACGAACGAAGCCGACCCTGCTGTGGTAAGAAGCTTCCTGCGTGCGCGGCAGGAAGACCCCTGGCTTCTGCAGGCTCGGCCCGACCCTGAGCTCACAGCCCCCGGCGCCCCTCCCCTCCCGGCCGGCTGTCTCTGCCTCCCTGGTTTTACTATGCTGTCTACGACGCAGGTACGTTTTTAAAGCACACTTCCAATTACACAGTCACTACTTGTTCTGCATCTGTCCTGATTTCCCCACCCCCTCAAGCATTATCTATTTTTACTTTTCTGTGACTATTTCAGATGACAAATAGAATTTGTAACTAACTCTACTCTCCAAGTTACAGATCACCCTCCTACCTGAGTCTAACTTTCTAAATTTCCACGGAGATCTTTCATTTCAATAGCAAGGTTTAAACTACTTTTGTTTATTGATACAAAGTCTAATAAAGGCAAAACACAGTACCCCTATTCTTTTTTTTAAAAACCACCAGCCCCAGAACCCTTTAACAGAGAGAACAATTTAGTCTAAAGAGTACATTCTTTAAAAAAAGAAGGTCATTTACAACCACTATTCTAAGATTTTATGTTAATGGGTTTTTATTTTATTTCCAAAGCAATTCCTAGTAATTCTACAACACTCTTCTCATGCAATATCTGAGACTGTCTCTGGCTCTGCCCTACAACAATACTCAGAGAAAGGCCGCCAGAACACCAGACAGCGGCACCCGGTAAGGATACAGCCATGCAGCACTGGAAGGGCAAACCGGTGGACCTGAAATGAAGACACACGTTACGCTCAGGAGTAAGTATGCTTAAAAGAAAACAAAAAGCACCACATAAAATATATTTACAGGTGAGGAAGTAATACACAAATGTAACAAGGCAGTGAGCTTATGGGCAACTGAACCTTAAAGGAGCCTCTGCAGTCAGCGCTGTCTCCCCAGTTGGAGACGGGCAGGCCCCGTGCTGCAGTCGACCGCACGGGCCCAGCCCCGGGTCTGGAGCACGAACGCAGCCGCCTGCAGCTGCAGAGCATTTGCCCCCTCCCTCCCCTCCGGGCTCTGCCTCCCCCAGCTGCACTCCTCTGGGGAAGAGACACGCCCGGGCTCACTGGTCGCGGCTCAGACCACCTTGGTAAAAAAGGCAAAGCAAACGATAAGAAATGAAGCCACCAGGCAGATCGAGTTACTCGGGTGCCAGGTGCACACTTCCTGGCCCAACCTGTGTGTCTGCGCCTCGCTGCCGTGAGCTGAGGACAGAGGAGGGCGCCACCCAGGCCTGGCTCCTGGGCGGGGAAGGGGCTCCCGTCCCGAGGAGGACACACGCCCAGCTCCGCACCTGCCCGGGGACTCAGCTCCGCCCCACATCTCTCCACCCTTTGTCCCCCAGGGCCCAATCTCTCTCTCTCACTCATAAAGCACAAGGTGCTCTTAAACTTAAGTATCTTTTCTTCACTTAAGGCTTCTAAGGAGATGAGAGCAGGACGGCTGTCCCTCCCCAGTCCAGAGTGATGTGAGGCAGCCGTGACCCAGGTCTGTGCATCCTCGGCAGAGCTAAGGCAGCCTCCCGAGCCCCTGGAGAGCAGGCAGCCGTTTCACAGTGTGTGCTCAGGTGAAACGTAGGCCATCACGAACAGGCGGCCTCACTCAGTGAGCATTACCTCTGGCTGCGCAGAAAGTTCTCTCAGAAGATGGCCATTCCACACAAACCGCTGATCCGCCTGAGGGAGAAGTTGCAGAATGAGAAAACAGCTCCTGCTAAGGCGAGCCTCTATGGAAAGAGGAGGATGGCAATGTTTCCACCTCGTGGCTAGAAACAGGCGTCTGACAGGCTCCCGCCAGAGAGGGGGAACCCCCCTTCCCCTCACAGCAGCCCCCACCCCGGGGGTTTCCTGTCGCACTGCCTCAAGACAGCGCTGCTGGCCCGGAAACCGGGGGTCCCCCGCGGGGTCTTTCTTCCTCGTGCACTCCGTCCGCCGGCAAGTCCTCAGTCTTCCAAACCCGCCCTCTGTTCTGCAGCCCATTCCCACGCCCTGGGCCGGCACCCGACTCCAGCCTGCCCACTGCCGTCCAGTCTGCGCCGCCCCCCCCCCCCCACCGGCTGCCGGTCAGAGCTCGCTGCCGTGACAGGTCTCCCGTCTGCTGCGATTCTTCCCTGGCTGCCCCTCGCCTGCAGAACCCAACTGCTGCGTGGCCTGCACAGGCCTGGGACCCGGCAGCCCCTCCTGAACTCTCTGATCTCACCTCTGGCCACTCGGACGTTCGGACTGTAAGCACAGAGGAAGCTCCTCCAACAACTCGACCTTTTCCCTCCGTTCTCTTTATAAAACACACCCACCCGACAGCCCCCCACCCCCCATCCGAAAAGGCACAGAGAGCGCGCTCTCACTGGACCACCAGCAGGCGGGCGGTGCACCCCCCGAGATGCACGTGCGTGCTCCGTGCCGGCTGCACTGGTTATCCAGCATTACCTCATGCAACTAAACATTTTGTACATCAACGATCCGTGGCTTAAAATCAAGCTGCTGTTAGTAAAAAGCTAAATGAGTTAGAATTTAACCCTGATAAAAGGCAAGTTGCTAAAACAAAGCTGCTGTTGAGTTAGAAGTGGGAGTGGCAGCCACGAAAGATGAGAGAAACACAGTAAAAATCTATGGATTCTGCCCACACACTGCTCCATGTTGAAATACTTAAACAGACTCAAACTGGAGAGCGTGATGGATAGACTTTATCTGGAAAAGACAATTAGGAATCAAGGAACCACAAACAAAGGCAAGCCTATGGTCCTGCATCAAGAGAGTGGCCTGTCAATGCAAACTTTAAGTGAGGACAAAACGCTGACGGCATACGTGGTGCGTCCATCACCTCTAGGGTTCCCTATGTTAACTTTAACCGACTCCCGATTCGCTGACGAAAAGTTCCTTTCCCGTCCCCACGGACGGAATGGCTTCTTTTTCAGTTTAGCCTAATACTGTCACCGTCTCTGCCTGGAAACCCGCCCTCTTCCGTCCTCTCCTGACCACGAAGGCCTATCCATCATTCAATCTCAGCTCAGAAGTGAGCTTGCGGAGGCTGGTGTGGCTGCGCGGACTGGGTCCCAGCCTGTTCAATTCCCAGTCAGGGCACGTGCCTGGGTTTCGGGCCGATACACCAGCAGGGGGTGCAGGAGAGGCAACCACATACTGATGTTTCTCTCCCTCTTTCTCCCTCCCTTCCCCTCTCTCTAAAAATAAATTTAAAAAAGTGATCTCCGTGAAGTCGTGCCTGACTACCTGAGGCAGAATGAGACCCACCTTCTGTGGGGTCCCTCTACACCTGGGTGCCAGTCTCTGTGACAGCAAGTGTCCCCTGCTTTGTGACCGCCTGGACTCCCGCGTCCCCAGGAGACGGCAGGTTCCCACAAGGCAGGGGCCCTGTCACTTCATTCTGTGCCCCTGCTGGCTGGCCAAAACAGTGCCTGGTCCGCAGCAGGCATCAGGGAGACACTCGGTAAACATGTGGACAATGCAGCCACTGCTTTCAAAGGCACCAGTGTCTTCAGCTAGAAGCCCAGTTTCTTGACGGCTCAGCTCACATCCGAACTTACAGCTGAGCCTACATAAATGTTACCAGATGGGAGTATGACTCATCATAAAGCCAATCAACTAAAACACTGATTTAGGTTGAACTTTACAAAAACTATCATTTTTACTGGTCAAAACTCATTAATTCCTGGCAATATCATATGGTCCAATCTAACACGGCACTAAAGTCTGTCTGACCCGTAGACACGTCTTAAGGTTTGTTCATCAAAACACGGAGGCAGTGGCCATCCAGGCTCCTGAACAGCAACAATGTGAAGCTGAGATCTGAGGCCCAGTTTTAAAGATGCACTCATCTTAGAAAAAAAACAAAACAAAAGCAAAATAACAACTAAAAACCTCACCTTAAACAAAAAGATTGTTTTCAAGTTCTTAAGTAGGTTGTTACTTTCCTAGCTGCAAAAACTATGATACCACTGCAGAAGGACATTAATTCTAGAAGCAGAATTATGTTACTAATGCTGCTGATACCTGTTAGACTACAGAACTCCTAGAGCTAGGAAATCACCAACACGTGTGTGATGCCATGACTTCCGACTGCCCGCGTCATAGACCCTGAATCTGGGACTCACGCATGTTTGAAAACAGACATCCAGCCAGGACTGAGAAAAAGCAGTATGTATTTTAATGGACGAAATAGAGACATGCCTCTTAAAAAACCCCAAAGAGGTAAAAATAACTGACCATTCAGCTTACCCTTTCCAAGAGACTCATTTCCTGAAATTCCGGACTAGTGTTTGACAGCCGCTGCAAAGTGTGGGTCAGATCGTACGTGGTGGAGAAGTAAAACCCATCCACATTCAAGACGTGGTTTATCATTGCTAGGAAGGTCTTATTATCTTGTAACTGTAAACAGAAAGGATAAAAAAAATCAGCCTGCCTCATCCTTGAGAAGGACTCTGTCGGCACGAAGAAATAACGGAAATAAAAACCTCCGAGTCTGGCCCCATCAGACACCACCAGCGCACGGACAGCACCCAACGGTGTGTGGTCTGACTACATTAACTGTCAGGCAGAACCCCGTCCCTCTCGTGTCCCTCACAGTGTCTGCTCTAATGGGCAGGACGGTTACTTTAATGAAATATCACCAACGTAAGTGATGACCTACTGTGTGCCAGACACTTTTCACAGATCATCTTTCACCTTCCAAAACAAACCTGCTAGGTTAGTAATTATCCTCATCTGACAAATGGAAAACAAATTCTCGAGGGGCTCAGTAACACAAAGAGTAAGTAACAAGAGAATAATACCGTCCACATTCTTAAGAAATTTTACTAGGCCCTGGCCAGCTAGCTCAGTTGGTTGGAGTGTCATCCTGATACGCCAAGACTGCGGGTTCGATCCCCAGTTAGGGCACAAACAAGAAACCCAGAAAATGCGTACATGGGTGGAACAACCAAGCGATGTTTCCCTCTCCCTTCCTCTCTCTAAAATGAATAAATACAACTTAAAAAGAAACAAACAAACTTACTTAACTGGCTGGGGAGGATGGTAAGTAAAACAAAATTCTTCTTAAAATCAGAAAGTCCTAGGGAAGTATTATATGTCTTATTTCCTGATGATCGTGTCAGCGGGCCTGCCCAGTGAAGGCCCAGACTGACGTGCGTCCCCATCTTTGCTTTAAAGAACAGTGGCTGGTGTCGGGTAACAGGAAACACAGCCCCTCCGCTACAACAAAACCTCCGCTGCGCCGCTCCGTCTTGCGGACAGTGTGACAGTGACAGTGTCAGTGTCCCCGCAGCAGCGGTCTCTCCCACACCTCACTTGTGTCCAACCCGAACGTCACTCCCGGAGCTGCCACTTTCTGTTTGTCTGCCCCTTCATCGCTGGTGGGATGCCCTTTAGCTAATGTGCCGCCCTTTAGCTAATGTGCCGGGACATCTGGAACACAAGCCACCTTGCTGGGGGACGGCCGTTGACTAAACCCGCTGGCGGGGATGCGCGCGCACGGGGGGGGGCGCTGTCTGTCTGAACACAGACGCTGCGCTCGCACCCACATTCGGGGCAAATGAAGAGAACTTTTCCCCTTTGGGGAAAAAGGGAATGAAATAGGATGAGTGGAACTTCAAAGGTATTTAACATTTTATTTCTTTACAAAAAGGATCCGAAGTTAAATCCAGGTGCTGAGAACATACGTGTTTTTTATTTGTTCTTTTCTTTCCATATGAAATTTCATAATTTAGGAACAGAACCAGTTTTGTTTTGTCTTTTTAAGAAGACAAACCAAGAGAAAGAAAATATGTGAAGAGCTTGTAAAATATGCTTTATGCCTGGGTATAAAGGTAGGTAAAGTGGCCCGCTCTACAGGTTAGGTTCAACAGTTAGGTTCCAAAACCCATCAAACGCTCCCTGTACCCCACCCCCAGGGCACTACGCTGGGTTCTGCAAGCGCCTCCACTTCTTACCTGAATATCAGTTAAGTGCAACATTGTCTTCTTATAAGAAAGAATATCAAAATCTGTTGCTTTCCAGATTACATGATTGAAAAAGTCACCTATTTTTATCTTTTTGGTAATGACAATCAGATAATTTCCTGCAAAAAAGCAAAGCAAGACTCAGATAAACATAAATAAGGCAACTCGAACACCAAAGTAGCAGTCCTTGTTGCTCAGACTCTAAAAGTGAGACTGTATGGTGCTGTGCGATAAAAAGCCTGTGGTTTTAAAAAGCAATCTTATAATTTATGAGTAGAAAGACCAGTACATTATTTCTAGAAATTCCTACTGAAAGTTTACATTTTTTCCCACAAAGATATAGCAAAAGCTTTCAACAGCTAAAACAGTCATCGCAGCAGACCAAACGCAGGACAGAGATGCATCTTCTCTCTCTCGCCCACGGCATCCCCGTGCAGACGGGCTTCCGCCACGCTCCCCCGTGGGTAGCTGAACGCACCACGGGTCCTGAGAGCTGACCCCTGCCGGGCAACGGCCCGTCCACACTGTTCCTGTGTCCTTCAGGCATTCTATCAACCCCATGGCAGAGAAATGTGCTGGGGCAAGTGGTCCTCAGCTTGTGCTGGTTTGACTCAGGATTCCTCTACTTTACGGTGGCGCCAAAGCGACGCACATTCAGGGGCAACCACGCTCTGCACTCAGATCTGCTCCAGGCCTGTCCCAGGCGGCAGGATGCCCTCTCGTGACAGCGGACAGCGCCGCAGGCCGCGGCTCTCCATCTGGCCGGCGAGCACAGGGGTGAATGAACAACAGGGAGTCTGTAGTGCATTCAGGGGTCGGAGGTTCTGCCGGGCTGGGGGCTGATGCGGGTGCTCTGGGCACATGGGAGGTGGGCGGGGCTAAGCTACGATGCTCAGTAGACTGGGTGTGTTAAATGCATTTTCGACTTAACGACATTTCCAGCTTATGACAGGATCACTGGGAGGTGACTCCATCCTAAGTCTGGGGCGTCTGCACCAAGGGGAGCAAGGGGACAGCAAGGAGCCTGCACAGCGCCACGCACGCACCAACCCTGATTCGGGCAGCCCCCACAAATACAGCAGGGGGAGCCGTTCCCACTGATTAATTCTTAAGCTCTGCTGGGCAAGGCTCTCCCACAAGTGCCCTCCTGGAAGTTCTCCCAGGTGTGTCTCTCTCCTGGAACGTGTCACACTGGACTGCAGTAATTTTTACTGCTGAATGCCGCTCCCTGACTGTACAGTGTGGACAGATGGGACGTGCCTCCTTCATAACGTAGCCTCCAGCACAGCACCTAGGAATTTTCTTAAAGTTCAATGAGATGAACTTGGGATACACAAAATCACTTTCCTAGTGACTCAGAACCACCTCATATTCTCTAACATGCACTGTGTCTCACTCAGCTCAGATGGAGGTTAAGGGAGAATACTCTGGTCCTTGAACGTATTAAATTTTTTTATTTAAATACTCTTAGAATTTATGAAAAGTGTTTAGTTGACTAGAGATTTCAACTATAGTTCAAATAAAACCAAAAACATACTTCTTTTTTAACAGAATCTCAGCCTGAAAAATTTAACCATTTGATGTATATTACTTTTAGAAATTAATGGCAAAACCCTAATCCAGTTTATTGCATAAAGCATGACATGAGAAGTATGCTTTCATCTCATACACTAATTGTGTCAATGTGATTACCTTCCTAGCGCGTCGGAGCTGATCTGTTCCTTACCTGCCACCAGGTGGATCGTGCCCAGTATGCCAAATATCGGTCTCGTGACAGCTGAAGGAGGAATGTCTTTCTTGACTTGAAAAGAAAAACAGAATCACAGAACACAGTCACCAACAGAACGGGAAATTTAGTTTGATTTCAGCAGCTTCACGAAATCAGCACGGATGACTTGTCCTCAGAAAGCAGTCTCCCTGCATGCCGGCAGGACGTAAAATAAAGCCGTCCACGCTGCATAGAAAGCACTCTGCCCGCCCAGAATATGGTGTCGAAAGTAACATTCTTCAGCATTCTTATCAGGTACATTGTGGATTATTTCTAATGTCAATTTTCAACTACATTTATTCAACCTCTTGCCACAAAGTAAGGCTTTATCTCTTTAAGAGAATTAGATAGTAAGCACACACACACACACACACACACACTAAATAAATAAATGATAAAGTTAAACTAAAAAGAAAGGAAATGGAAGAAGGCCGGGACGTGACCCTGACTCCGCCACCCCACTAGCAGAGCGCACACCGGACCTGCCTGTCCACGCCTAAGCAGGTGCGCGGTGCGCGGGGCAGGTACCGCCCCGAGGGGGCCGGTGGAAGGAAGGGCCTCCTCCGCGGGCCTGACAGCAATCCACGCAGGTAAGCGGGGAGGCCCCATCACGAGCTGTGACTTTACCAATAATGCCCTTATGAACAAACGACTGGTGATCCATTAATCTCAGATTACGGGGTTCGTTTCATAATCGTTAAACTTTCAGCCAACGTGTTTCACGGAAACACGTTTTGTAGAACCCTGGTTCAGGGAAGAATGCCCCGTCAGATAAGCTTCATCTGCCCACCCCCACGTTACTGCTCTCCCTGGCCCAGAGACCGCCAGGATGCACAGGCGGAGAGGGAAGGCTCTGGGACCTGCAGGAAAACCAGGCTGTCTGTCCCCCTGTTGACTCCTGGCTCCCCAGACTTGCGTGGCTCTACCTTTTTCTTTCAGCCACAGCCGAATCATCGTCCTGGAACCCATTCTGAAACACTGCGGTAAACCCAAGTTCCTTCTCTTAAAGGCAGTCCTATTATTCTGAAGAAAGTGATTCTGAACAAGGTCTAAAATGCGCTCCCGTTTCCCTCAGTGATTCAATGTGCGTAGCAGCGCTGCGCCACAACTAACTGACGTGGAAAACGAGAACACCAGCGCGACGAGAAGCTGTGAGAAAATCCTGCGCATACTGAGATCATCCGATAAACTTAAGGAGAGAGCGCTGTAAGTTACATCAACTGGAGTGGAATCGCAGTGAAGCTGTGGCAATTTCTAAGAAACCAGGTTAGCTTCTCGTGGAAGAAGACGACCCCGCTCTCGCACAGCCGGCACGCCCAGCAGGCAGAGAAACTGCGAGTGGTCACGCCCTCACCATCGCCGGCTCACGGTCGCAGCACCTCTTCCCGTGCCTACTGCAGGGTGGGTGCTGCTATCGTCTTTACACCCACACTACTCGTGACCGTCAGCTTCCCCCACTCGAGTGGGGTCTGCAGCCTCTACCCACGGATTCAATGTCACCGAAAAGTCAGAGATAACTGAAAACGCATCCGTACTGAACAGCTTTAGTAAGACACTAGGTCGCACCAACGCGGTGTAAGAAAGCAGTGTAATTCAACGTTACCAGAAGGCCACGACCATTGGTTAAAACCAATCATCTCTCTTAGGGGAGCAGCTACCAGGCAGTGGCAAACTGTCAGACTAAGAGCTCTCTGATTCCATTTGGTCAAGTAAAAACTATATATGCGGTCCTTACCAAAAAACCGTGTAACCAAGGAAACTGAAGTGTACAATCATACCTTTCTTACACTTTATTATCCTGTGCAAAATATTTTCATATTTCACTTTATCCAGTCAAAAAATATTTACTGTTTACTAAATGCCTACTATATGGTTATTCAAATACTGTACAGCTCAGTGGATTGAGCACTGGCCTGCGAACCGAAAGGTCATCAGTTCAATTCCCAGTCAGGGCACATGCCTGGGTTGCGGACCAAGTCCCCAGTAGGGGTCGTGCGAGAGGCAACCAACTGAGGTATTGCTTGCACATCAATGTTTCCCTCCTTCCCTTCCCCTCTCTCTAAAAGTAAATAAACAAAATCTTTTTTAAAAAAGAAAAAAAAACACAACAATTCTGTCTAGGGGTGAATTTTTAAACAAATGCAATAGTAAATTCTAAACATGATATCACATGGTACAATTTGTTACCAAAATTATTCCACATTAGTCAGAAATCCATGTTCTACACAACTGAAAAAAATTGTTTTTTTAAACCCCAGAGAAACAAAACCAAAATATAACAGGAGAGATGGATAAAATAGACAGATAAAGCCTAGAAACTTGTGTTTTGGGCAAATGATGTTTATATTATTTTTTATTCATTAAATTACCCTCACAGTCATGAATATTTTAAAAAACAAAAGCAGCCATTAAAATTCCATGCACGTGATGCTAACAAATAAGAAATAATTGTTTCTAAGTCCTTACAGAGGGTAAAACTGTCAAGATCGTTTTTCCTCTCCACAGAAAGGGGAGAGCATAGACGCCAGACGAGGGGAAGAACCACAACTTGAAAGACCCTCAGAGGGGCGCACACCGACACCCCCGGCTGACTTGACGGCGCAGTGGAGGTGCGGGGTCTCTCTCGGGGCCCCCGGCCCCGCCAGGAAGTACCTGCAAGGGTGACCTCCGTGGACACGCGGTCGATGATGAGCACGTCGTCCGCCCCGTCGTCGCAGGCCTCCACGTAGAATTTCTCGGGCGTGATGTGCCTGGGAGAGACGCAAGACAGTGAGTCAACAACCCAAGCGCGACACAGGCTGCTGAACAACTCCTCACTGAAACAGGGTCGGCTGGGCTTAAACCTGACGCCGTCCCCCGGCTTCGGAGTCGAGGAGACTGGCGCGCATCCTCCCGGGCGCAGCGCCGCTGTTTTCACTTGTGTATTTAACGCTGACAAAGTGTTACTCCGCTATAAAACCACCAATTTGACTTACACAAGGAAATCACAATAAATCCTAATTTACTCCATTCCCCGTGGTGCAGAAGGCAGGAAACACAGCAGCTGGCTGCACGGCCTGCAGGACCAGACGGCCTGCGCTGTGTGGCCCCGGGCCAGTTGCTCCTCTCCTCTCTGTTTCTCAGTTCCGCTATCCATAAATACGGGTGATGGGTACCAGACTCATCAAGCAGAACTGGTGTGAGGATACAATGAACTATCTTTGACAAACATTTATAGAACGACATCTGACACACTGTAAGAAAGATCTAAGCATTAGCTAAAAGTACAAAGAAACACATTTTTAATAAAATATTTCCAGGAAATTATTTAATAAACTACTTTAACATTCGGGCATTTTTTGTTTGTTTGTTTGTTTAGTGAGTTAGAATGCCACTTTAAAAAATGAGAATTAAAAAACACTTTCTCATTCCACAAAATGAAAAATAAAAACCAAGGGGGTAAAATCAGGGCTGGGACAGATAACACAAAACATATGTGGCCTTGTAACCAGAGCCCAACAAAGTAACTGTCCGGTCCTCAGGGGGTAACCTGAATAATGCAGGCAAGCAATTTAAGCATCGCCAGGGAAGGTCTCAGGACACATTAGGGAGGAACAGAAAACAGAGTGAAGTGCAGATCCGCAGGTGCGAAAACAACACAGACCACCAAGAGGGGGCACAAGAGGGAACTTCGAAGCAGCAAGAGAAAAGGAGACAGTTACCTACAAAGGCGTTCCCATAAGACTGTCAGCTGATTTCTCAAAAGAGACCTTACAGGCAAGAAGGGGCTGGAAAGAAGTATTCCGAGTCATGAAAGACAAGGACCTACATCCAAGATTGCTCTATCCAGCAAAGCTATCATTTAGAATGGAAGGGCAGATAAAGTGCTTCCCAGATAAGGTCAAGTTAAAGGAGTTCATCATCACCGAGCCCTTATTATATGAGATGTTAAAGGGATCTATCTAAGAAAAAGATGATAAAAAATATGTATAGTAAAATGACAGCAAACTCACAATTATTAACAACCACACCTAAAACAACAACAAAATCTAAGCAAACAACTAGAACAGGAACAGAACCACAGAAATGGAGATCACATGGAGGGTTATCAATAGGGGAGGGGGAGAGAAGGGGAAAAGGTACAGAGAGTAATTAGCATAGGTGGTAGGTAGAAAATAGACAGGGTGAGGGTAAGAATAGTAAGGGAAATGTAGAAGTCAAAGAACTTATATATACGACCCATGAACATGAACTAAGGGGGAAGAAAGTGGGTGGGAGAGGGTGTGCAGGGCAGAGGGGAGTGAAGGGGGAAAATGGGACAGCTGTAATAGCATAATCAATAAAATATATTTTAAAAAAAGGAAACAAAGGTACAGAGGAGATTCTGGGGGTGGGAGTGGTGCTCAACCTTCTTGAGGATTAAATGAAACAACAGCAAAGGCACAACTGTGATCAAAGAGAAGGAACAACAACAACAACAGAAAGAAGCGCTGAAATATCCAACAGCCACAGTGTTGGACTGTTCAATCCCTGAAGGATAATAATTTCTAACTCAGAATTCCACACATAACCACACTACCCAACAAGTGCGGCGACAGAACGAAAACATTTTCAGATGAGCCGTATCTCCAAGACACCTCTTCTACTCCTTCTTAGGAAGTTGTGTTTTTTTTTCTTCTTCACAAAAATGGAGTAAATCGAGAGTTGGACTTGGAATCCAACACAGGAGAGACACGAAAGAAATTCTCACAAGGACGGCGCGGAGAGGCGCCAGGACAGTGGCCGTGCGGCAGGCCCGGGAGCAGCCAGGCCGGGGCGGGGGGGAGGCGGGGGGGACTCAGGGGCCCGGGGGGCACAGGGGGGTGTGGGGGAGCGCAGGGGCAGAGGCTCCCAGAGGTCAGTGAGCCTCAGGTCAGACACGCACTGCCAGTTTCCTGACACGTCTGGAAGGAGTTTCACTCTGAAACCGAGGATTAATTAGTGACAGAGACATTGAAAAAGCCAATTAAATGTAAAGAAACAACCACTTTTAACTCCAGGAAAAAAAAATGTTATGAGATAATGTAATTAAAATATCCCACTGACTTCATCTGAATCCGGTCCACACAACCATAACCAGCATCTCACTGTGACCACATTGAGGGGAGAAGGGAGAGAGTGGTATAAAAGCTAAATTCTCATCTTCTGCAGTAGGAAGTCATCAGAAGACTAAAACGGAAAGAAATCAGGAAACGGTGGTATAAGCATGTTCACAAATTCAGAGTAAGATACCTGAAGAAATTGGGAAAGAAGTCAGAAGCGGATGTCTCCAGGCAGCAGGGACCAGGGCTGCAGGGGCAATAGGGATGTGCAGGGGCAGCAGGGGGTGCAGGGGTGTGCAGGGGCAGCAGGGGTGTGCAGGGACAGCAGGGGGGTGCAGGGGCCGCAGGGGGGTGAAGGAGGTGCAGGGGCTGTAGGGCTGTGCAGGGGCTGCAGGGGTGTGCAGGGGCAGCAGGGGGGTGCAGGGGCCGCAGGGGCTGCAGGGATGTGCAGGGGCAGAAGGAGGTGCAGGGGTGTGCAGGGGCAGCAGGGGTGTGCAGGGACAGCAGGGGGGTGCAGGGGGCCGCAGGGGGGGTGAAGGAGGTGCAGGGGCTGTAGGGCTGTGCAGGGGCTGCAGGGGATGTGCAGGGGCAGCAGGGGGGGTGCAGGGGGCGCAGGGGCTGCAGGGATGTGCAGGGGCAGAAGGAGGTGCAGGGGTGTGCAGGGGGGTGCAGGGGCAGCAGGGGTGTGCAGGGGCTGCAGGGGTGTGCAGGGGCAGCAGGGGGGTGCAGGAGGTGCAGGGGCTGCAGGGGGGTGCAGGAGGTGCAGGGGCTGCAGGGTGTGCTGGGTGATGCTCTCATTATCATCTTTGTGTCCTGTCTACTGTTAAACCGCACACATGTACGAAGTTAAAATGACCATTAACCTTTAGAACGTGCTACAATGAGAAAAAGAAAAAGAAGTGCGATCGTGGATCACGGCAGAGAGTTGCCCTCCGAGGGCTTCAGGATTCCGCTGGATGTTACCTCCCGGGGAGATGCTGCTGGAATCTCAGCTGCTGGTGCTGCCACCACTGGGGTAGCTGATAATGTCATTGAAAATGGCTGAAGGACTGGGGCGATGGTGACAAGAACAGGGACGGCCAGCTAATCGACGTTTCTAACAAGAGTCACGACGGGTAATGACTCGGAATCCCACTGGTCATTACAGCAGGTGCCACCCCAGCGCACAGTCACCTGCATGTCCCTCGGCTGTCTGCCTCTTTTTTCCTTCCCATTCCCACCGCTCTTTAATTGGCCATCATAGTGATGGGAAGGACGTCTGTTTTACGTAGTAGACTTTATTCTGTAAGTGTTATGCTTCCCAGCTTTCATTTCAGAAGCCAGTAAAGTAACCTGAGCTCTCCAGCGCTGACTGTCGGAAACACCTGAGCAGACACGCAGTGGTCTGATGTCTGCTGGCGCGTACAGCTTTATTACTTTTGTCTTCAATCTTCACTAAATGGGCTCCTAAGTCTGCAAAGTCTATAAATATCCAATCCCCGTGGTATTTTTCACACAAGAAGACAGCAAAAGTTCCAATCGATTTTCTTATGGATGATAGCAAAGACCTACATGAAGCTGGTTTTTACATGTGGCCCTTGACTGATGTTTTCTTTGGCTCAGAGACAGAGTCAACAGAATTTTAAAACTGGTTTTCTTTCTCCTAGCTAAGGAAAGGTCTTGACAGGAATGTTCACTGGATCTGATGTTATAATGTAACTAATAAGAAGAGGAAGAGGGAGTATGTGTTTTCTCTGATTAGAAAGTCTACAATGAGTCACTTTCAAGGTGAAGCCAAGTTTGCCAGGAGTTTTTCAGAATTAACCCATCAGCAGGCCACACTGGGTTCTCAGTGTAATAAATACATGGAAACCCAGATGGGAGACTCAACCATAACTAAAAATCTGGGCGAAAATCCTCTCCCAACTGCAGAAAGAACGGCTCTCACTTGCTGTGATGTCTCCCATTTCCGTAACACTCTCCCACATTACTTATTTTACGAAACAGATTTCAGAAGCTAAGACAAGGGGAACCCCTTCAAGACTTGGTCGTTACCTGCACTGTTGATAACAAATCCCTAAAGGTCGAAGCAATGCGGCATCCTGGGAAGAGCATGGTCCTCTCCGGAAACGCCCGGGAGGCCGGGAGAATCTGATGGGTATTAACCATCCCCTACCCCTAACCGAACCAGAGCACTGCCTTCCTCCTTTCAAGACGGGATTCGGCATCAACACTGAGCGCTGGTTTCTGCTAGGATGGCGCATATTTTGGGAGACGGGTAAAAATAACATAATACGGCAGTAACAATTACTTCCCATTGACAACTTTCGTCTGGTTGACTGTGCTCCTTTTATGGGTTACTGCCCAAGTATGGGACAAGAAAGAAAGAGAAACCACAGGGAACTAAAAATTAAATTCAACAAAAGCAATTCTTACTGTTACCTTTAACTAAATGCACTTCATCTTACGGCCACGTGGTATTCAATAGCTTTTAAGAGTGCTTTTAAAAAAATCATCCTCGTTAAATTTTTAAAAAGCAACATAATTACAACAGAACCATCACCTGTCACTTTTATTTTCTGTCAGTGCTGGCAATGTGGTGTGCCAGTGTCTGAAAACATACTTTTCCTCCCCTGTAACATTTATACATTTCAGGACACCGATCTCTTCAAAACCCTGCCAAGTCACCATGAGTAAAAGCAACCTAATTG